CTCGTTCTAACACGCCCCCACATATCTACCTCACTATGTGGAAATATTAGCATAATGCAGCCCAAATGTGTACGCAAAGAAAGAAGGCGTGGTTTCAGTAACTGCAGATAGTGTTGAAGCGCCATGTCAGGGAGACGCTGTGTGTTTCTAGGCGAAAGCAAAAGCTATTTATTTGGCCTTCCGAAAGTAGATGCAATTAGGAATCTTTAAGATTACTTACAACAGAACAGCAATGCATTTTATGGACGACCGTTTCGTGAACCTAGGAGAGGAGGTAATTCTGACTTTGCTATGACAATCTGGTGCTTCTGAATCAGCTACTGTTTTGTTATTAGTTTAAGTATTTGCTATTGACTGTTCAAATGCAGAGTTTTGCTGCAAACACATACCAGTTTCATCACTGTGTCTGTCACGCAACTCTGTTCCCCTTTCGGGCTCTGTCTTTACATTTATTTTGAAAGATGAAGCTCGCGATTATTGTAAGGGGCGAGCTTGTGATTTGATCTAACGGGGCATCTACACCGGATGCAAGTGATGTGACAAAAGATTCTGTTAAGAACGAGGCATGTGACTTCGCACTGGATCCAGTGTGTGTTATATCATCTCCTACTTGTAAGTCGCTTCGGATAAAATTGTCTGCTAAATGAGTAAATGTAAATATGGATCGCGTCGTGCCAGGAGTAGAATTATCCTTTCCCAATAAAGCAAAGTTGTTGTGTGCCGAATACTTATATCTCATCATACTTTATCATATTTTAGTAGGCTACTTTAATTCATTACAGCTATGTTCTTAACTTTAACTGGTCTGTCACTGACAGAGAGAGAGAGGGGAGGACAGTTGCTCGACCTCTCCACAATTTATACATGTGAGAACTTGAAAGAAGAGAATTTGAAGGCAGTGTTTTTTTTAACTGGGACTACCTGCCAATGTTTTAAGGAATTAAACATTAATATATATTTTAATTTTATGTTCAAATTGTTAAATAAAATTTGTTGTATAGGTAAAGGCAGTGTGTTCCAATAGTTTTTAAAGACACTTTTTTGTCCCAACTGTTAAGAATTAGGATAAAAGTTATCGTTTAAGTGTAGTGTAACTGAAATATTGTGCATAAAATATCTTTATTTAATAAAAATAAAGTATATATGTCCACAGTGGTCTCAAAGTCCCAAGTCCTGCAGTTATTATTGAATTAGGGTTAGAGTTAGTGGTTTTGAGTCTGATATCACAAAAAATATGTCCCTGTAAGCTGTCTTGCTTCCTGTAAGCTATCATGGCATGTTCCCAAAATTGCCATTAGGGTGCTCTAAAACACGCCAATTAGTATTTTATATAGAATTTATTATGTGAACATGAATGTACTTTGTACATTATGTACTTAATTTGTTTGGCCGTTGAGGGTCACATCACCTGACAGCTGTCCCCCCCACTTTTAAAATGGCTGCTACGCCCCTGATCATAACAAAAATAAACACCGGTATTCAGTATGAAGCGGTATACCGCCCAGCACTACACCTTTGTTTACTTCTGTGTGTTGCGAGGCAACCACTTTGTTTGAACCACAACAAAGGGTCTACATTGTTTGGTCGAAGAATACTGTTTTTATTTATATCATTATACTTTATTTGCTCTGTTTTATTCTGTGAAACCTTACTACATATATGGAATAACCGTTTTATAATAGCAATAAGTCCCATGAAGCCGTGGTTTACAGTGAATTTATAACAGCTAAGGGGGTTTTAACAATTGAGTTTGGAACGCAGTGGCACACAAAATCAAGATTGCACCGCTAGAAGCGTTTGCTCTCATGTACTCGTGTAGAGCGCTTCAAGCCTCAGAACTGACATAGACATCAAATACAAAATTTCTAGGAAAGAAAGCATCTCACATTTATTATTTGCACTTAGAGGAGAGATTGCATTTCACTTCAGAATAACCATTTTTGTTCAAATGCGATAATACGGTGCTTCTAGGAGATGCGCTTGTTGTGCCAACAACATGAAGGCAATTTATTCACTTTCAAGAGGTGAGCTGATATCGCTTACTGGTTTCAGAATGCTTCGTTTGTGTGCTTATAAATAATTGCAGAGGTTGAGAGGAGAAAAGAACAGCGCATTAGCAAAACACGCAGCAGACAGGGAGGTGAGCGGGGTGGGCTGCCAATTCCCTGCCCTATTTTATTGTGTCCCTCTGCAGATATGGTTAATTCTCCTTGGCTCACTTTTTAATCCAAAGCCATTTCATTATTTATGCACCCTTGTACACACAAAGGGCTGTCTGCTTCCCCTTCTCCTTGTGGTTCCTCTCCTGGGGAAGGAAACAAAAGTTAATTGAAATAAATGAACTGGGGAATGAATCAGAGTTGATTACATCTGCAAGGTAGGAAGTGATGTTGATTACAAGTGCAGAGAGAGCGAGAGAATGTAGCTGCGGTTAATGAAGAGACATGCTTGTCTGTTGCCTTTATCGAAGACATCCACAGATCCTCTCCAAAAAGACACTTGCCTCAGAACCCGAAAAATTGCTTGCACTCTGAAGACAACGAAAAAGTCTCCTTAAAAGAAAAGCATTTTTTAATTCGCTCATCACTTTTTCACAAATACAACTGTCAGGCAACAAAATTAGTATTATCATTCATACTTACAATAACTGTACACTATTTAAAATTAGTAGCACAGACACTATACAAAGGAGGGTTCAGAGGTCAGGATGGGCAGGACTGAAGTTAGTTTAGAAATAAGGATGCTAGCGATAGAATATTTAGTCTGTGGGATTGTCCAATTAACAAATTTGGTTGATCCACATTATGTAGTTTCAAATCTAGCAATCCTGTCAATACGTAATTAATATTTATGGATAAAGTGTGTTTAATTTAATGTGCCGATTAACAGATTTGGTAGTTTGCTTAATGTCCATATCTAATAACAACCTTGTCTTAGTCTGTATTTTTGCCTTGCTTTACAGTACAAATATAATTCAGAAAAATTCTTAAATTGAGATATATTTACTTGCAAAATGACATAAGTCTTGTTTTCTGAGGGTGGGGGGGAATCAAAATTAATTGAGTTAATAGGGTCAATGGGGTTAAAAAAATACAGATTATTTTCTTATCCCACTGGCAGTTATTTTTTCTTGTTCTAAGCACAATTAGCTTAATTTAAAATAAAAAATAGCTTCTCAATTTTGATTTAAGAATTTTTATATATTTGTACTGGAAAAGTAGACAAAAATACTGAGTAAAAACTTTTGCGTTGTATAGTTAATATTAAAAATAATCAGTTTCTGAATAATTTTTTGTTTTTTTCAATTTGAGTATATATTGTGTAAAATCGATCGCCATTGCTCGATAAACAGATTTGGAAGTTACTACTTTCATTTTCAACAGATAGTAAACCTTTTTCTTTTTTTTATTTTATGTGAGTTTTGAGTAAACATTGTATAAAATGCATTTACTCTTAGCAATTTTGTGTACGTCTGTATAATTTGCCAATATATTATATAGATATCAGCATTACATCATCGGCAAGCCTGCTCTTTACAAATATATTTTGCACCATATTGGCTGTATATTACAGCACTTTGTTTTCTGAGAGTGTTTATCTCCCTCCATTAGTATTAAGCACCACAGATGTCTTCCCTTTTCCTACCTCTGCCCCTGAGACAACAAATTATCATTACACATTGCAAAAAAAACAAATCGCTTTAGCACCACAGTGGGAACACGCAACAAACAAGACATATCAACACACATACACAGCACACAATCCTCTGAGGTTGATGATCAGGAACTTGGTAATCACATATTCAGATATGAATGAATTTACATTAAAAAGAAGCATAATTTAGTCAGTCTTCAGTGTAATGCTCGTATGACACCCCTCTCTCAATCCGACACAGTATTTTTCATTCATTACCACACATATATGAAGCAATTCAGCTGTGTGGAGCAAAGGTTGATACGCTAGCGCCATGGAAACATGGATCACTGACAGGCAAACATACTAGGCTGCCTGCTAACAAGACAAGCAGCTTAAGTGAGCGGACTACTTTACATATAAATAAACATCTGGGCTCCATTTGAGTCATGCACATAAACTGCTTTGCGTTTTGAAAAGCTTGGGCCTTATTTAGCATTGTTTATGTATGAGCGTGCACTGATTAAAGATGAGTAACACTGCAAGTTTGATGCGACAGGGAATATCCAAGCGAGGAATTACAAACAGATCGGGGCGGTATTTTCTTGTCAAACAAGTAAAGAGGTATAACATTGCCTCAGTTGGCATCATATTGCAGTCAAGGCAGGAAAGTGGGTCTCGGAAATATTTACTCTTCAATGTCGAAGCTGATCCCTCAAGTGGCAAATTAATTTCAAATCATTGCTATCAAATGAGACAAACAAATATGAGATCCCAGTCACAGGCTGTAAATTCAACATATATACTGTGGGCTAAAACGGTCTGTGGCGCAGATGACAGACAAACGATGTATTTGTTTTTCAGCTGGAGCAGTTCTGGGAACTCTAGTGGGTCACGCCTCATAATTTTATCCACAGGTGAGTACAGTATAAAGACAGACAGAAAAGGAGATAAAAAAGACTTCTCTTTGATAAATGTGCTTAGTTTGTCCTGGTTGGCATCCTTGCATAGCCACCATGGATTTGTGGGCTTTTGCAACTCATCAGATGTTCAAAAGTCATTTGGAAACATGCCACAAACCCACCCTCTACATATTACTTAATAAATATCACTGGTGGCCTCGTTTCTTTAGCTGGCGAGTCCTGTGATGAGGCGCTCTGTGTTAGCCATTAAAACACACTGGTCCAACATGGAAGCCAAACTTCTGGTTGTTATTCCCAAAGTCTGATACTGCTACATCTATGACCGGAAGAAGCTCTGATCGCGGCGAGTCAATCTGCAGCACGGTTCTCTCTTGACCCTTATGTGTCTGTGGAAAGAAAATGAAACGTGAGCTGAAAGAAGGTTCCTGGTTTGGGCTTTTATAGTGTATTTTTGCTCAGGAATGAATTGCTGAGTGTATCCCTGTGAGGTTCCGTTGTTGGATAATGCATTAAACTCCTGCTGAAATAGGCTTATTTGGGTGCTATTTTAGAATTAGCTTGTTCTGACTGTTTTTAGCTCCCCATTCTCCACTGAGGGAAGGCTAATTTGGTGATTCATTAAACTTCAAGAAACTAAGTGTGGGCATTTTTTTCTAATGCCGAGTTCACACTGCGTGATTTTCAAACTCGTTGGATCGCCGTTGTTTTCACACTGTGTGACTATCTGAGGTAGCAGTCAGTTGCTGCTGTGTTCACATTGCACGATGGATCGGCGACAGGGGGTTTCACATTGCATGACTTCACAATAGGAAGAATCGCCGACAGCTCTGTCTGGTCCGCAAACTAGTTTCACAACAAAACACACGCGAGAAGTGATAAGGAAATAACGCGAGAACCCGCGTGCGTCAGACCGGAGTTCTCGAGCGAGTAATACTTCCCATACAGACAAAATTACTGTTTACAAACAAACACACGGTGACGGCATAACCAGGTTCTTCAGGCACCTCAGAAAAGACCTGCAGTAACTATCAAAAATGTCAAAGGGGTCCTATTATGCCCTTTTACAAAGTCTTGATTTGGTTTTTGGGGTGTACTAGAATTGCACTATACGTTTGAGGGTGTTTATTCACCAACCTGTGGACAAATTGCTTGTGTGAGGTCATCTTAAATTTCATAAATCTCCTCACCTGACAACCATCATGCAGTGATGTGATAAAGGGCGATTTGGCTTGCGTCATTTCCTCGTCGTTGCTGCCGCGGAACCGTACGGCATGTTGATGGCTGTGGCTCACCACGTCGTACCAGCCGACGGAGTTCTGGCAGCTATAGGTGAAGGGCTGCGTAGCTGTGGCACTGAGGAGCTTCAGGAAGGTCATCTGGACCACAGGCACTGGATTTCCATCAGTGTCAATATAGAAGAACTGCAGCAATGGGGAATCATGGGTAAGGAGCACTCAGCTTAATCAAAGACAGTTCTTTAGACACATTTATTGCGTGACATCCATACTAACTTCAACACCCCTCCTAGATTTTATTTCTAACAAAGGCAGGATAGAGTGACATCTGTCTGCCTTAATCTCTATAACAAGGTCAGATGTCACACCTTACGAATGAGCTCCGAGTGAAACAGGCTTTAGCTGTTAGTCTCAAGCATCATTTAATGAGTCAAGACGGATGGAGGTCGCTAGCGTGCACTCAAGAGAGTTTGGCCCGAGGCATTTCAGATAGAGCCGCATATAAATTCCACCATATCTCTTTTCTAGACCAGACATACCATTTATTTTTTATTTTTTTATCAAAGACACATACCCACTGAGTGGTGCATCTCTGTTGATTGTTTGACAGTTTAGAAAATCTTTCACCATGTTCCACCATTAATTTGAGAGTAAAAATTCTGTATAACAACTGGTCTATTTATTGCATCAGGCAGTATGTTTCTTACAAATTGTGGCCTTTCTGTTTATCGACAATAAACAATTTTGAGGCAAAAAGTTATATAAAAAGGTGTCTAGATTCAAACTCGGTGCTGCATACGTGTTGACAGTCAGACTGTGAAAAGATGAGAGAAAAGCACCTGTTTGCCCTTTCTGTACTGGCTGTACCAACTGCCCGGTTTTTCTTTATTCCAGGCGGCCAGCTTTACCTGTATTGATAGATGAGGAGACAGATCAGATGTGTTTTTCTTCAGACTTCAGAAGGCCTGTTGAACTGAGACTGCAGGAAGACGTGTGTAGTGTACATGAGTATGGTTTGAGAGTCACCATTTCAAATCGTTTATCAGGGTGCAGACAGGTCTCCCCCTCCGCAGTGAAGTTGCAGAAAACCTTAATGGAGTCTCGATGGCAGCCTTGGTTTGGGTCGATCCAATATTCACCTAAGAGGGGGTGGATTGCAAGATCTCTTAAAATAGTTTTTAAATACTCATTTAGCTGGGGAGAATAACATGGGGCAAATTCACTAAAAAGTCCCTTTCAGTATTTTTTTTTTTATTAAATAAACACACAAAGAGCACAAATACAGCTCTTTTCTATGTAAATTAGAATCATTAAAGATACTGCTAGTGCTATTTGCCAATGTCATGTGGGATTCAGAATTGAGAATCCTTTTTATATAAGTTATAATAAGTGACAATTTGTCAAGAGAAAGTTTGAAAGTCATATATATATATATATATATATATATATATATATATATATATATATATATATATATATATATATATATATAGAGAGAGAGAGAGAGAGAGGGGGTGTAGACAAGTGCATGTTCTGCATTTTTAAAAGCTGATTCAGGTGTCTGGATTTCAGTGGAATGTAGTGATTCTATATAGTTTCAGTAAGTTTGTCAGATTGTGGTAGTCTGCAGCATCTTTTACAACCAAGCACTCTGAATTGACCTGCTTGATAGAGAATTGCACTCAATGCACTGTGCAAATTCTATTCAGCTTAGATTGTGTGCTGTTACCTGATTTGCATAATTCCTTTAGTGAACAGGCAGCATGGGCAAAATTTGCAGGCATTCTTAGTGAATTCCCCCCCATAGAAGAAATTAATTAACTAATGGAAAATGTGTGTAAATTTCCTCACCATCTTTGTATTCTGGATGGCACAACATCAGCTCCTTGCATGTGCGGGCAGGACTCTCGAAGGTCCCGAGTGGTTTTCTCATGAGCTCCACCTCTGTTTTCATTGAGTTGAGTGAAGCGAACACCTCCTCCATGCCTTCTGGGTCATCCAGGGACTCGTCTGCCTGTAGGAAATCCTCCATGTTGAGCTGGACTGCTTCCTCATCCTCACTCTCTTCCCTGACTCTGGCTCCTTGTCGGTTTGAGTGTCGTCTTCGCTTTTTATGTCCCTCTCTGATTGGCAGAGGCTCGATCATGGTGGCTGGTGGGCCCTAGAGAAACAGAGTGATGGGAGACATGAGGAGACAGGAAAACAGAAACAAACAGAAAAGTAAGGAGACAATATAATGGCTCACAGGTAGTCCAGGTGGGCCAGCAGGTCCTGGATCTCCTCTTGCACCGAAAGCTCCCTTCGAGGGGAGAGAAACAGAAACAGTTTAGTCAGGCATCCCTAAAATTGGCACTTCCCTCAAAGGCCCCTGCCAACTCAGCGCTTCATAGGGCTATACGTTCAGAGGGATTATCCGAGTTAGAGCAGCAGGATACAACTCAGGCACTGACAATGTCTTTCACTCAGGTTTCATAACAAAAGCAAAAGCTCAGATCAAAACAAACAAATACCATATAAACCGAGAGAGGCTGAAAAATAAGATTGCAATGAAAAATATATATACCAACCTGGTCTCCTTTAGATCCTTTCTCACCTATTGCACCCTACCAGTGAGATAGAAAATAGCAGTATTGAAAAACTGGCAATATGATTCTACAAATACATTTAAACATACCAGGTACCTTCCTAAGGAGTTGCTGTTCCTCAATAAAACTAAGGTAAATAGAGTGAAAAAAAGGAATGCATATAAAAACTCACAGACAACCCGGGGGGTCCAGGTGGACCAGTCGGGCCAGAGGGACCAGAAACACCCTATTATCAAGAGATCAAAATAAAATTTTCTTTAAGACCATCATTAATAAAGGCAGTTAAGGGGGGTCCGTGTAACAATTTCATTATTATCATCTGTCTTTTTCATTGACACCTGACACCCAAGATGCTACCAACTTCGATTAGGCTACTAGTCATTCATGCTAACATTTACCCAACAATCTATCGACAAAATAGACATTAAATTCAAATGCATTATACCTTTCTAAGACATGGTTCATACAAGAAAATTACAGCTTTTTATTGAACATTTCTCAACAATCTTACTTTCTCAAGTTTCTTAGCATGTGCTCAGTGAGTTTGTGATTGGCTTGTTTAAGAATGTTTGTGCATTGTTGCATACTCTACATTATTTACATTACATACATTTGATCAAATTTTTATAAAATACAGCCATACATACATTTTAATAAAACTCAGAAGAAAAATTCCAACAAAGACCAGAAATCTAATGCTTATATACTATAAAGTATATATTGTTTATAAAAGCAGAAATGTATACATACACCATCTCCTTTGGGGCCTTGTACTCCCTGATTTCCTGGCAGGCCTCGATCTCCTTTCTCTCCCATTTCTCCTGGTGGTCCAATAAGTCCAATCAGCCCAACATGACCCTAGACAGCATAAAGAACAGCAGAGCTAGACTAGTGCACTGAGCCATTACAGTTACTACATGCCATAATTTTGCAAACACAAAGACTTCACAATATTTCACAATGAGCACAGTGCTGGGAAGTTATGCTTTGAGAGTTTTATGCTTGGCTTTAGTGAGAGATGTACTGTAATCGGGACAAAAAACATCTATGATGCAGTCAGGTATCATACCTCACAGTGTCAAGTGTTTATGATACTCTCATACCTTATCTCCTTTAATGCCGGGATCTCCTTTCAGTCCTGGTAATCCAGCTGGACCCTATATAAAGCAAAGCCAATCACAAAATTAAATTTCATTTTGAGGCAGAATTTGCCACAAGCCCAAAATCATCTGTCTTATTTTCTTAGAGTTGTAGATCGATATGGGAGAGAAAGACGTGGTGAAAACCTTACCATAGGTCCTGGGGGTCCCGTTTGCCCTGGGGGCCCATTTAAGCCTTGCTCTCCCTGAAAAGGACCAGACAGAGTGGTAAGTTCAAGATAGATTAAGCATTCAGAGAGATCAGTAATAAGAGTGGGTAAATCACGTTGTTCCATATCTGCTATTTATAGCAGATTAATTTGCTGTAACACAGACTCACAGCAGAGCCTGGAATCCCACGCAAACCCTCTGGACCAGGGTTTCCAGGGTGTCCCTGTGGTCCGACAGGCCCTGTTTTTCCCATTGGACCCTCTGCACCAGCAGAACCCTGAAGAAGATAAAAATGACAGATGTCCTTGTGTAAAAAGGGGTACCTGCTACATATGATTTTACGTGAAGGTTTATTATAAATAAAACTCACCTTTGCCCCCTTTTTTCCCTGTTTCCCTTCTTTTCCCTCAGGACCTACATGACCCTGTGTAGAAGGAGACTAGTGATTAGATTACAGAGTTTTTTTATAGTATGGGAATCATTTAATACACAATCGAAACCCACCCTCCGTCCAGGTGGCCCTTGAGGGCCAGGCTCTCCTGAGGCTCCTGGGGGTCCCTGTTCAAAACAGAATATTTATTTGAATTAGTTTTACAAATGTATGATTACATCGATATCTCTAAGTGCTTGAATACTCTACTTACAGCTTTACCAGGTTCGCCATTATCCCCTTTAGCTCCTGGACCACCATCAATACCCTACAACCAAAAATTATATTCAAATCACCATGTGAATTTGCCATCAATATGTGTCAATCTTGAAGCTTGAATTTATGCAGGTGTTGCTGCACTTACATTAGCACCTGACTCTCCAGGGGGTCCCGCATCTCCAGGAAATCCAAGGGGACCCTATTGAGGAAAATGGATGGTGTCAGAGTAAAAATATCATGACAGTTTTAACTATGGGAATAGTTACTTACTGGGTTTCCTTTGGGTCCATCTGATCCAGGTGTGCCTCTGATTCCTGGGGGTCCTGCAGCTCCAGGGGGGCCAGTATCACCCTTCTCACCCACTTCACCTTTCTCTCCCTTGACATTAAAGCAACAGGGAGGTTAGTGATACACAGGGGATCAAAGACTAATGAGAAAAGAGGCAACAGGAAGAAATTACTTACAGGGGGGCCAGTTTCGCCCACATTTCCTGGATTCCCTGCTTCTCCATCCTCACCCTAGACAGAGAGCAAAAGAGACCGGCAAAGAGAAGGAAGCAAAAAGAAAGAAAGCAACCATCTATCATACTTAGGCTTACATGTTTACGTAGTTACAGAGGCAGCACCCTCCAACAAATAAACACAACCTCCCCCATAAATCACAAAAACACTTGTACATATACACAGTGATAGGGAGGTCTACCTTTTCTCCCACCATTCCTGGCTGGCCCACTCCGCCCGGCATGCCCTGAGAACCCTTGCCACACAGAACAAAACTGAGTGAGTTTCATTCATAATGCATGCAAGGCTGTCTCCTCTACTTGCAGACTGTTGACATTACAGTGATGAGATTACAGACTACCAAGCATGGTCTCTGTGTATATGCAATCATATTTTATTAAGCTAAAACGCCATATTGTTCAGCTTCCTCCTGGCTGAGGCATTTATGGCTGCAATGGCTGAGTATGAATATCTTGAATGAGTCTAAACTGAAGTGGTTCCCCTGGTCTCTGGAGTGTCTCTGCTGAGTGCCTTTAAGTGAGGTGCACACATGAAGCCAAATAGATGACCAGCACATGTATACTGGCCGCTTCTCATATGATGGGCACAATGAACTCCGGTGCACAACACTTCTCTTCTCCTCTCCAGCTCTATGAGAGTGCTGGTGTACGGGTCACTGCCGCATTTGTCTCTGTTCTCTCACTTTTCAATTATTAACACATGGGAGATGTTCAAAGGCGGCCATTAATAGAGGTAAATATAACTCTCTCTCAAGGATGATAGTCTAATATTCCTTAATCATTCATAGAGAAGTAAATATAACTCTTGCAGAAGGATCATATCCCACTTCTTGTTAATAATTTAATGCTCAAAATCAGCAGAGGGTGGGCAGAAAGAGATATGGGGAGGATGAAAGACTGAGGAAAGAGAAATGAGGTGTCGTATGTGACCTCATAACAGCCTGGGGGGGTTTCATCTGCAGAGTGTTGATACACAGGATGGGTTCTTTGGAGTCGTGAAACAAAGACTTATTATGTTTCAGCAGTATTGGGACAACAACCCCTAATCAGCGCTAATCTACTGTCCTGCACTTGAACCCTACAGCTAAGCAGTCTGATAGACAGGAAGGAAAACACAAAGACACTTACCTCTCCCCCAATGGGTCCCTGGGGGCCACGTGGGCCATCTTGTCCTGGAGGGCCCTGATGAGAAGCACAACGTTTAAGCATTTCCCACATATCATTAGACATGTACTCTCTCTTTTGCTCTCTCTCCTCTTTTTGTACAATCAGCACCTTTCTCTGTGTCAAGAGAGGGGTTTTTTTCTCTGACATGGTGGTGACAGGCTATTACGGGCGGGCTGATTTCCTCTCTGTGTGCTGTGACTGGATTTTAATGAGGACCATCTCACTTCTCCATTCTGTGGTTGCACTGCATGAATTCTCAACTCCTGAAGTATACCTCTTATTGCTGCGGAGGGCGGAACATGAGCCATTAATCAAACTGACCAAAACCATTGCTAGCACACCGCACGCGGTCTTCACACCAAGAGATATTAGTGCAGCGCGAGGCATCCAGCTGGATAGACTACCGCGAGGATCAACACCAAGGCTGAGTGTGTATGCTCAACAATATGCAATATCCTACTCTCCAGAATCCATCAAAGAGGCTTAACACAAACTGGTACAGGGAAAACTGGAAATTCAGTGGCTATGCATTAGGGCCTGGGAATCCCATGGTCCACGGCATTCTCTCATGGATGAGATGTTCCCAGTGAGGTCTTGTGGCTTTGTTTTTGCCCAGTTTTGATGCACTTCATCTAATCGTGCAAGTGTGTGGAACTGTTGACAATCTTGTTTTGCATTCCTTCATGGTTGACGGAGCCGCAAGAAGATTGTCACAAAGGAGTGTGCTCATTAGACAGCCCAGGCTCACGGTAATCTGATTAGCAGCTGTCACACTGCCTTCCACTTCAGAACCAGCATCACTTTCTCTTCTGTCACTCTCGGCTCACACGGGCCTGACACTTATACACTCACACTCATGAATAATGCCCCAGTCTCATACAGCTTCTCTCATGGTTTCCTCATCTTTCACTGTATTATAGTTCTCTATTGACTCTCATCCTACACACACACACAGAGTCCTGTTAAGAGAAATGCTGTGCAGGTTTGGAATGTTGGACTGACTTAATACTCGAGTGAATGATTGTTTCTTCATGAACAAATTTGTACAACAAACTATGTTTTTACATTTTATGTTAATGTAAGTAACCGTGAGTTGTGCTTGAGGCTCCAGGAACAAGTTTGGGAACCACTGGTTTAGCAAAATAACAGCACTGTTCTCTTTGACAAATGACATGATCTGAGGAATCATTCAGGTTTGGGACAACTTGCATGTAGAAGTGTAGTACTTATGAATCTTCCTTTCTTTTGGAGAATTTTACAATTCCATTTCTATATTTGCAGTCTACGAATTTGGGATCCAGACTTTTAATTTGTACTAAAGGTAGAATTAAAATTGTTAGCAATTCTCTATATCAATATGCACTGTTGAACTTCCTCAAATTGTAGTCCTGAGTTTTCTTACAGTCTGACAGATAAACAGCTGTTTGAATATATAGAAATTTTTACTTTTTAAAATTTATATATACTTCTTTATATCTGGTCATTTCACGGACTAGGGTGAAAGAACACGTCAACTCAAATACAGTCAGTTCAAATCCAAATCCTCTTGTGGGATGTGGCAAATTCAATTTAAAAAACTCAAGAACTAAAAGAGAGATGATTTTTTTTTTATTCTGTATTTGTTTCCCAAACTTGCTGCACGCATTGTGTATCATTTAGGGGTATTATAGAGGCCAAAAATACTGATTCTAGTGCCAAAGTATTCATATGAGGAGTTTATGATATGCACATCTTACCATAGCTCCAACATGGCCACTCTCTCCCTTCTCTCCTGGGGGTCCTGGCATTCCCTAAATAAACACATTTAATTTTAGAGGCATACAGTTTCAGAATTAAGGTGGATTAACCCCCTCAATGAACTGTGAAAACTATGTCCCATCTGGATGAAGATGAGCTAAGATTTTGCAAACAGTGAATTCATGCATGCAAGTCAATAGATAAGGACATCTGGAACTGACAGAATGCTCAATATGTAACTACTCAGGGATGTAGATTTAAAATGACAGTCTATTTGCAAAAATGTCCAGAAAACCAAACAACCTTCTGTTATTGTTATTGTTTTTTTATAGACCCAACTTTGATTTCATCGGTTTAGTTTGGTTTAACTTTACAGTCGCAGTGTGGAAAGATGGTCTGAAAAATCATATGTATGTGGCATAGGCTGTACCTGCAAACCTGGTGGTCCATTTGCCCCTTTAAAACCGCGAGGACCTTCATCTCCTTTAGGGCCGTACATTCCTTGCTGTCCCTGGGGCCCTGGCTCTCCATCCAGACCCTGAAAGAGACATGAGTGCTGGACTATGAACACACACAAAATTGTAAGCAACATCACCCTCACGCACACCACACTCATACATACTGGTGCTCCTGGATGTCCAGGAGGTCCTTGGCTTCCAGGTGGCCCTGAGGGACCCTGTGAGATAAAATGCAGAGATATGGTGTTACATACCTCTAATGAAAGTTAATGTAATATTCAGCACATATGACAAGATTAAGGATGTGCCCGAATAGTGAAACAGTATTCGGAAAGGCACAGAAAACGAATAAAGCGTTCTAGTTTGGAATGTTGGACTGACTTAATACTCGAGTGAATGATTGTTTCTTCATGAACAAATTTGTACAACAAACTATGTTTTTACATTTTATGTTAATGTAAGTAACCGTGAGTTGTGCTTGAGGCTCCAGGAACAAGTTTGGGAACCACTGGTTTAGCAAAATAACAGCACTGTTCTCTTTGACAAATGACATGATCTGAGGAATCATTCAGGTTTGGGACAACTTGCATGTAGAAGTGTAGTACTTATGAATCTTCCTTTCTTTTGGAGAATTTTACAATTCCATTTCTATATTTGCAGTCTACGAATTTGGGATCCAGACTTTTAATTTGTACTAAAGGTAGAATTAAAATTGTTAGCAATTCTCTATATCAATATGCACTGTTGAACTTCCTCAAATGCCTCAATTGTAGTCCTGAGTTTTCTTACAGTCTGACAGATAAACAGCTGTTTGAATATATAGAAATTTGTACTTTTTAAAATTTATATATACTTCTTTATATCTGGTCATTTCACGGACTAGGGTGAAAGAACACGTCAACTCAAATACAGTCAGTTCAAATCCAAATCCTCTTGTGGGATGTGGCAAATTCAATTTAAAAAACTCAAGAACTAAAAGAGAGATGATTTTTTTTTTATTCTGTATTTGTTTCCCAAACTTGCTGCACGCATTGTGTATCATTTAGGGGTATTATAGAGGCCAAAAATACTGATTCTAGTGCCAAAGTATTCATATGAGGAGTTTATGATATGCACATCTTACCATAGCTCCAACATGGCCACTCTCTCCCTTCTCTCCTGGGGGTCCTGGCATTCCCTAAATAAACACATTTAATTTTAGAGGCATACAGTTTCAGAATTAAGGTGGATTAACCCCCTCAATGAACTGTGAAAACTATGTCCCATCTGGATGAAGATGAGCTAAGATTTTGCAAACAGTGAATTCATGCATGCAAGTCAATAGATAAGGACATCTGGAACTGACAGAATGCTCAATATGTAACTACTCAGGGATGTAGATTTAAAATGACAGTCTATTTGCAAAAATGTCCAGAAAACCAAACAACCTTCTGTTATTGTTATTGTTTTTTTATAGACCCAACATTTCATTGGTTTAGTTTGGTTTAACTTTACAGTCGCAGTGTGGAAAGATGGTCTGAAAAATCATATGTATGTGGCATAGGCTGTACCTGCAAACCTGGTGGTCCATTTGCCCCTTTAAAACCGCAAGGACCTTCATCTCCTTTAGGGCCGTACATTCCTTGCTGTCCCTGGGGCCCTGGCTCTCCATCCAGACCCTGAAAGAGACATGAGTGCTGGACTATGAACACACACAAAATTGTAAGCAACATCACCCTCACGCACACCACACTCATACATACTGGTGCTCCTGGATGTCCAGGAGGTCCTTGGCTTCCAGGTGGCCCTGAGGGACCCTGTGAGATAAAATGCAGAGATATGGTGTTACATACCTCTAATGAAAGTTAATGTAATATTCAGCACATATGACAAGATTAAGGATGTGCCCGAATAGTGAAACAGTATTCGGAAAGGCACAGAAAACGAATAAAGCGTTCTACGGAGCCACTAAAGGGACATGGTTAGCAGCTTGCTAGCAGTAGCTTGTTACATTACAGTACATAAAATTTAACTTACCACATAAACAGATTAAAGAGAGATGACTGATAGGACGATGGCAAATGATTTGCAGATCCTGAGCACCACTGACATTTAATCTTGTAAACTGAAATCTAATCTTGTAAAATGTGCGGTTAAAGTTAAAAAGCGAGCACACATTCAAAAGTGATTTCAATGCCCCGCATATTAATAGCGGCTTCCTGATGCCCGCGTTTTATATACAATGTAATTACCCGGAGATATAATTACGAGAGAAAGCATTGAAATATATTTTTTCCTCCCATCTCGTATTTATTCCCTTTAGGGGTTCCTTAGTACACATAATTTCCTTTCCGAACACGTTATTCAGATTAGGGGTTCTTTAGTACACATAATTTCCTTTCAGAACACGGTATTCAGATTCGGACACATCCCTAGACAAGATAGAGATACTAACCCCCTCTCCCTTGTCTCCTTTGCTGCCTTTCTGCCCTGGTCCTCCTGTCTCCCCCTGAAAAACATACTCATGCCCATAAATAACAAGCAGTATGAGCACAAGCATGTGCAACTGCTGAAAAAGTAGTCAAAGCTTTACCTTATCTCCGTCCTCTCCAGGTGGACCAGGTGACCCTGCAGGACCAGGTAATCCCACAGGCCCTTGTTCTCCATCTCGCCCAGCAGGACCAAATGAACCTTTCTCACCCTAAAGAGGAACAGAGGTAATTAGTAATTACACTTGAAGCTACTCTAGCACAGTAGTAAATCTTCTCATTTCACCAAGTAAAATATCCTGTCGACACTTACCGGGTCGCCCTTCTCTCCCATTGGCCCAGGGGGGCCAACACCTCCCGTATGACCAGGCTGACCAATGGCACCTGCAGGTCCAGCGGGTCCTCTTTCTCCTGTGGCACCCTGTACAGACAAAGGAATGTAACATTTTAGTTAGGTGGAGTATATTGAGGAAAACACAAAGGAGGAGGAAGGTGTAGGACAATGGAAAAATCACTTACAATTGGTCCTGCAACACCAGGGGGGCCCTCCCCACCCTTCAGACCAGCAGTACCCTAATAAGCCGTACATGTAAAACAGTAGAGATAAGATATATATGTCCAAAAAAGTCCTAGAACAATCACCATCTGTCTATTTGTACAAAGCCTGTTGTCATATTGGAACAGTTGTCACTTATGTAAAGGCAGCAGCCATGACAGCAGGGATTATAAGAAGATATTATCTCAGATGTGCTGAGTTACATTACCAGAGTGCCAGGTAAGCCTCTTTCTCCTCTGAATCCACGGAGCCCAGCAGGACCACTCTTCCCGGGCAGCCCTGCGGGGCCTGGATCTCCCTGGAGACCAGAGAACACAGAAAGATGGATCTTTGTTTCCACAACTCTCTCACTCATTAGGAGTCATCCATCACTCTTTATAGGCACTGAGCCATGCTGGGAGCTCTATTCATATTGAATGAGCAGAAACATATGGAGTGTAATGAGCAGTGTAACTTATAACTAGATGGATGTGTTTGGTGTGTTACGTGATGATGATGATTTCAGTGCTATCTAATCTAATGCTATATCTAACCTTGGCTCCCTCTTTGCCTGTGACTCCTGGTAGACCTTGCTCTCCAGGGGGTCCTGGGGCACCCGGATGTCCCCTGTCTCCAGTGGGGCCAGTCTCCCCAGTTTTTCCCTGGAATAGAAGATAAGTGAGACAGCTTTATTAGATCAGATCAAACATTCATAAATGTTGCATAGCTTTATGGAACTGAACGAAGACCATGAAGCATGAAGGCATTGTTCATTCAAGCCTGTATGATCGACCTACCTGTGGGCCAATCACTCCAGCAGGCCCGGGGGGACCAGTCTTTCCTTGAAATCCCTGTATGAAAAAACTTGAATGTGAAAATGTTCTTCCCACTGCTTATCAAACAACTAATTACTATTCAGTGTATCTAGATATGGAAATTAATTTAAAGCCCAAGATGGGCCCTGTTCCAAATGTTGTCCTCACCCCACACATGGGTGATGTGATGCCGCATAAAATGTTGGGTAGTAATTCACAGTGAAGTCTGCATTAGCTCAGCACTGAGGGCAAACAGTGGCTCTTAAAAGCACTTGAGTAATTAAATGACAAATGGGACACACAGTGGTCTCAGGGTCTTTGCTTATTTGTCATTTAAAGATTCAGAAGGGTGCTCTCAAGTCACATCAAATGTGTCACAAGTCCACATCAAGCACACCATTTGGGACATGACTATGGTTACCTTTCTATGAAACGATTCTTTTTAAAAAAATGAATTGACTCACTGGCTCTCCCCGTTGGCCTGGGTGACCTGGCAACCCGTCCTTTCCTGGAGGGCCCTGAAAAGAAAGGACAAAAAGCCGTTAGAGACATCCTTTCATTCTCTCAAAGAGTTTTCTTTCTTTACTGGTCACTTACGTTTGGTCCCTTTGGCCCGGCCTCTCCATTGCGTCCTTGTGGACCTTGAGGGCCCTTAAGCAGAGCAGAAGAAACACTGTTATTCATTTATCTCTGGCAATGAAAAGAAATGTGAAATCTCAAATTAGTTTGGTAGATTGACCGTGTAATACAAGGAGAATTGTAATAGATAACACATACTCTCTCTCCTGCGGCACCTTGTGGACCGTCATGACCAGCAGAGCCCTGAGCATAAGACAAAGAAAGGGACGTCACATGAATTTAAACAAATACCATACCACCTATTTAAAAGGAACTCTATAGGATCATTGTCTGTATGAGGATGGATTTCTTACCTTGGCTCCAGGCTTTCCTGTCGGTCCTCTTGCTCCTCTTCCCCCACGTGCACCCTACAACAACAGGAACCAAACACACAAACATGCTTACAAAACAATTGTTCAATCAATTATTATTGACTGTTCCCTCAATAATCCCTGCATGTGTATGTAGTAAAACAATAGATGTTTTACATTTCATTAGTATGCTTAAGACTTACATTTGGACCTCTTTCACCATCGGGACCAGTCTGTCCAGCCGGACCCTGTAAAGAAAGCATATAAAAATGAGCACACACACATTGATGCAGCGGGGTATGTGTAGTCCCTCGGACAGTGTACCTTGGCACCGGCCTCTTACCCTCTTTCCTTTCTCTCCTTCCACCCCAGCTGTTCCAGGAAAGCCCACCGATCCCTGTGGACCGACGTGAAGGTTAATCAATTACCACATTCCATTCATTAATCAAACTCTACATTTAATTAACCACAAATTAACCTCTGAAGTCCCATTACCATAAATAAGCCAAATAATAATTGTAGTTTCAGATAAGCTATTAATAAAACAGCCTCTAAATGGCCATTAATCATCCTCAGTAAAAATGTAATATTGAAATATTAATATACCATGACTGAGACCTGCGGCTTTCAGATTTGGGTAAAAAAAAAATCAGGTTATTGTTATTTCAATGATAATTCTTTACCTTAGAGCCTTGCCTGCCGGGATATCCAGGCAATCCTGGAACTCCAAGTTTGCCCTACACATGGAATGAGGTCAGGAAAATGAAGGCAAACAAAAATAATTGGAATATAAACAATGCCCATTAGACTAGAAGCCACAATTACCTTTTCTCCAGCAATGCCTGCAGATCCGGGCTCTCCCATGGGTCCTGACTGACCCTTCAGCCCCTCTGGTCCATCTTCACCACGATTTCCAGGAGCCCCAGTATCACCCTGAGAATGCACACACACAAGTTACTTTTATCTGCAATATATGCCATCTATAAATATACATTCTTACATTTTCTGAAGAAAAGTGGTTATCACCATTTTTTTATTTTGGCAAAATACCTTTCCTCAACAAGCTGCATGATACGAAGTGTAATTTGTGTCCATAGCACAAACGGTGTGGGACCACTCAAACATTGTAGTTTAATATTTAAGGCATTGAAAATTTTTGAGCAATTATAATGATGTTTGTTTTAACAAGCACACTATTCGGGCTGAATGGAAAGACTCACTCTGTCTCCCTTGATACCCATGTCACCCTTGGCCCCTGGGAAACCATCTTCACCCTGTAACGGACAATTAGGAATTAAATTATCCACAAATACCTTGAAATTACTCCACACAAATGTGCAGCATGAAAACAGAGATGCATTCAAGAAACGACAGAGAACGTCATACATCATGTGAAGCCACTATCAGTAAAGCACAGTGGTTTATCACTACACTGATAACTGAATGAGTCTTCTCTTCCCTTGGCTTTGTTATGAGAAAACAAGTGGATTATGTTTTTTTCTCTCACCTTCTCCCCCTTGCTACCCTTCAGTCCCCTCACCCCATCTGCACCCTGTTAGAAAAGAACAAAATTTATCAGTGTGTGCCGCAGAGATCTCTGCACATCTCCAAACCTCAGGTAGGGAACGTTCACCTGAAAGGCAGAATCTCAAAAATGATGTCTTGACATGAATACCAGCACTGACTGTTTAAAGTAATAAAAGTCACGGCTTGCAAAATGCTGGAGGTGAGAAATACAGCAACAAATAAAAACACCATTGAGACAGAATATAGAAACAGACGATAATAATCTGGATGACAAGCTAGCAAGATAAATCCATTTTTTATTCCTTGACCACATGCTGAAGGCATCACACACTTCCACACAAACAAGCCCAGACCTTGTTGCGTTTTCAAATGTCCATCACGAGTGCTACGCACTGTCAAGGTTTTTCCGGGGAGAATTAAACTGGTTTACCTGAGCCAGTTGTCTGCCATTCACCCACAGTCAGACTGTCAATCAAAAGTCTGCCATCCTAGACCGAATGTCTTTGAGTGTTTTTGGAGCTAACCGTACAAGCTGCGATCTCAAAACTGCTCACCTTGACTCCACGGGGCCCGGGATATCCAACCGGCCCTTGTGCTCCTGATAAACCCTAAATAGAAAAACAGGCAATGTCAGTTTACAGTTCAAGCAGTGAAGGAGAAAGCACTGCATTAACAATAAATACCCTGTAATTTATCTATGATTAAACTATTGCATGCCCAATATAATACGTTAACATGAATGCTTGGTGATGAGAGGCAACATTGGTGAAAACGAAACAATGACCACACAATATGGATGGCTTGATTCAAGTGTGCAATTACTGCGATAGCGCATGCATAAAAGCACACCGTTATGCTTTGTGAATGGTGATAATTTAGCGACTGCAGCTGGAGCGCCTGTAACAAAAGGCTTCAGACAGAGGGGACCGTGAACAGGACAGCGCTTTTCTGTATGGTGCTGCATTTAGACTCTTGGCTCTCTCCGTTTCCTCTTCAAATTTTCAACGCTTATTCAGGTCAGTGGAGCAGCAGTGTGTGCGTGTGATTGTAACCCACCTGGTGTCCCTTCTCCCCAGGGGGTCCCTCTCTTCCAGGATGACCCTGTGATTTAAACAGGATAACCAGGTGTTAGCATGACAGCGGGCTGATTAGGGGACATCCTGTTTCTGTGAGAGAGCTAATGAGCCAACACAAAAGGCCAGGCCTGGACTAAGGATTCTGCATCATCACTTTTTCAGCATTCTGTGCATGAAAATTATGCTGTGAAGATTTATTGTGAATAATTGTGGTAGTGAATGAAATTTGCCAATGCGCATGTGTCAGTACGCACCATAGTGCCCCCTGCTGGCTAGTAGAGATACTTTATAAATAAAATAATTTTAAATTCAGTCCTATGATAGTTTTGGAGAACAGTACTTACAAGAGGACCATCAATTCCAGGAAGGCCCTGCATTCCAGGTTTGCCCTCAGGGCCCTGTTTGGGAAAAAAAAACACAAACGAACAAACACACACGCTTAATATAGAATCCTCTGATCCAAAGCACAAAACAAAACCTTCTTTATACTTAGTATATTAAATGCAATCAATATCAATAATGTGCTTAGGCACATTTGAGAGAAGGTGTGTGTGTGTGTGTGTGTACGTACGTACGTGAAGTTTTACTATTGATTATCTGTCTAGCTTCATATGGAAATATGAATAAAAGCACACAAACTAAGATGCTCACTCACCCACACTCAACGCTTCTTTTCAAATGCTCATCTAGTAAGGGGTCAAAGGTCAGTGCTTTAAAACTGAAATAAAGCAAGACTTGTAGAGTTTACCTTCTCTCCTGGCAGGCCTATAGGTCCCTGTGGACCAGGGAAGCCCTGAAAAAGAACACAATTCTTTATTCAAAGGCAAAAGTGTTAGATTTGTTCTACAGTAACAGTGCACATTTGCATTGCTGGCATGGCTTCATTAGGCAGTACTGGAGTGTAGATAGATGTATACCTGTATGCCTGGGTTCCCCTGTTGACCTGGAGGTCCAGATTCACCAGGTGGTCCCTGTAAAATGGTGAAAAAATCATTAGTTTTGCATGATGATAATCATCATTTTGTAAAGACATTAGTTTAGGACTTTTGCTGCCTTCAAGTCCTCCTGGAAAGTTTCTACTTTAGTTTGCAAGTCTAATTATGACTATGTGCGTTCATTTAAAATGGACATGGTGGGATATTTAATATTTATTCTCTTTATTTCACTTTTTTATTTGCTGCTATATTACCACAAAATCAAGAGCAAAGGATGTGCATTATTGGTGCTTTAACTATGTGTTTTAGATCTCTCCAGCTGTCACTGAGAATGATGGGAAATATAGTTTTGCTGCGCAGGGCTGTCGCCTCATAAACGGGCTAAATGAGAAGCATTTTCTATAAGCTTTATAACTGATTTTAATCAACAGCACACAAAGTGCATACAAACTAAAATGTACAGTCAACATTCACAATGAAAATTCAACCCATAGAAAAAAAATCAACTCCCAGTTTGTAAAAACAACAAATAATGATTAAACACAGAGAATGGGAGACTTACCCATATGGGTAATGGCCAACATATCCATATACTTTCATTGTAAGTGCATTTCTGTCAACACATTTCTTTTTAAAAACTGTTGAATGAGTCCAAATTTTCTGTGGTAAGCCACAGATGTTGTCAATAAAGCATAAGTTGTTTTTAACCCAGGATCATTCCTTTAATTACAACCAATATCAGTTAGCTTCTCTTGTGATTCTTTAATTGACACGCCCCCAACTCTGAAAATTGGGGCTCAAAGAAAATGTAGAGTTCCCACTGGTAATTAAACCATTGTGGTATAATTCATTTGCAATCTTCGTGTAAATACTATCATTTCAACATGGCTTAACGGCAGCATATGTCAATTGAAAAGATGCAGGCTTGAGGTAACTTTGCTCTACAGTTCTCAAGGGATGTGTTACCCTGTCTGCCAGTACAACAGATCCTCTACAGGTTATTTCTCAATGGTTATATCAGACATGTTGTTTCGAACAACCATACTAAACCTTCCAGTGCTCTATTCTGGAATTAATTTGTCGGCCGACATTGTGTAATACATGCATGGAAAACTTCATAGTAGACCTACCAAGTTGCCCTTTGCCCCTTGAACACCATTGACTCCTTGAATTCCCTAAAAGCAAAACACAATGTTTTGTTTCAAAATAATGCAGCAGTTAAACATCCTAATAACACCACAGCACCTCTATTCGTGTTGTGCATGAAAACTAGCCATTATGTAAATATGAAGGATGGGCAATTGTCTTACTTGCTGCCCTGGTGGACCAGGTGGCCCTCTTGACCCCACAAGTCCTCTTAGCCCCTGTAAAGAACAACAATCAGAAACTTCCATTAACGTTATGAAGGTGAAGTGTGTTAATGATCGAATAGTATATAACTACAGATTACAGCTGGTATATGCACAAGGGTGTACATCTGTTTAGGCTGTGCTGTGTGTGTGTGTGTGTGTGTGTGTGTATATGTGTATGGCTGGCGTGTGTGTTTTGTGTTTGTCAGTCTTGGTCTTTGTACACCGGCCAAGCCACCTGTTCCAGAGCCACATCTGTGATCTCCAGGGAGTTGATTGATATGGAAATATAATCATGCAGGCCAGGATTTCATCTCTTCCCTTCACCAATCTCCCAGCTCATCTATCTCCATCCCCACATTTATCTCCACAGCATCTCTCTCTCTCTCTCTCTCTCGGCAGGCACCGTTACGTAATGGTGCTCAAGTCCCTTACTACTCTGGGTGATCCATTTAAACAGCCAGTGCCTCAATGGATCGCAGCTCACCTGCCGAGACTTAAATGGCGCTTGAGCCACCATTAATCAGGCTGTGCCAAGCATGAACACGGGGCTGCCCATGGGATGTCAGAGACGTGTATGTGTTTATGCGCCCATGTGCATGTGTATCTTTCTGTGGGTTGGGCCACTTACAGGTTCTCCCGGTTGCCCTCTTGGTCCAACAGGTCCATCCGAACCCTGCAATAGTAAATCTCAATCAACATTCAGATTAGTTTGCCAATATAATCATCTTCATTGTGGTAGGAAAAAAATAAGTGAGATCCGGCCTTTAGTCTTTGAGGAAGGATGTCAGAAGGGTTATGTATGCAAAAATATTCCCATTCTTGAAAGCTGTGATCAATGTGAATCGTTGCTGCATACATTTTTCAACTTTGCATAATGAGAACATCCCACACAGTGCAAGGCTTGTCTCTTTCATGCGATTTGTGAGTACACACCTGGGGATCTTTAAACGGATTATTAGTAATCTGATAAAAGACTAATTTAGGGGGTTACACAAAGCTGCGAAAAACAGGATAGAAGTAAAGGCGAATCTGTATTACCTTATGACCGGGCTCTCCAGGTGGACCTTGGGGTCCTGGTTTTCCCCGGTCTCCCTGAGGAATGTTCACATGAGAGTCACGTTTGAGATACGGCACACAATGTGAATTCTAAATTAGATTTATTAAAAGTGAAGTGGAGCATTTAGACACATCTAAGAGCCACTCTTGAATGAGCAGTAAACAGACTGTGTGATTTAAGTAATTTGGTGTTCTTTACGCACTCGATGTCCTTTGTTCCCTGGAAGACCAGGTAGCCCATCAAAGCCCCTGTCACCCTGCAAAAAAGAAAGAGATCCATGAGCAAGATCGACAAAACAGCCTTTTCAAACACACAATCTACCAGCACACTTCATTAGCTAAACAGAACTCGTGTTCTTTCACAATATCATATGCTTTGCTTCGAACACACAAACACACAGATGTGAGTAGTGACTATGGGGCAGAGGTGTGTGTGGCATGTGGCAGGGTTTGACAGGCCGCCTCAGAGGAACCTTCCCATCTGCTGCGATTCTCAGCCCGCATCCGGTGCTGGGACTCTGAGAGCTGCGGGAGCACCTCACACTTCCTCATCAAACACGCTGCTGTTGTGCTAAATAGCTCTGTGTGATTTATTTACTGACGGGTCCTGCAGCTGGACAGGACTGAATGCTTGCTATTGTCAGTGCACACAATAAAACACAGCTCTCAGTAGCAAACTGTTCCATCAATGACCAGAACGATTAGGGTCAAATTAAAGTTTCCGGTGTTCCTTTTAGCTCTGGCAGCTGAATCTACAAATTGAGTACATACATACACAAGCTAATCACAAACAAAAATTGGATATTTGTGGTGGTTGCCCATGCAAAACTCGACAACACATAGAGAGCTGCGGGACTGAGTCCTAAAACCCAGAAATTACCATTTTTGCAATTCTGGTAATATCACCCCGAAGTTTTTGTAATGGGTTTTTTTGGTTAAAGGCCTGAAATAAGGTCTGTGGTTCACACAAGCTTAAAATATCTTCATGTTTATTCTACGACATAAAATACTTTAGTAATAATACCTTACTCGTGATTTTTTTTTTAAGCTTTTAAGTGTCTTGAAAATGGTGGATGGTAAAAAGTGGCTAAATGGGAGTACAGAAGTTGGGAGTTGTCAAGAACATTAAACATCATCACACCAAATAGGAAGACTTATCTACTCACTAGTCCATTTCCATTGTGTTTATAGAGTTGCAGCTTTTAAATAAAGATTTAAAGAGGTGTCCGAAGCTTAGTGGTGGTACAATAAAGTCATGTGACTGTATATTAGGCTTATATAAGTTGTGTTCATATGTGAAGATTATCTTAAAATGTGTAGGAATCATTGACTTTTGTTGGTCACAAAGCTTGTTTTTTGCAATAATCCAAAAGCCAGTGCAAAAAAATCTACTGGCTTTTTGTTGAGGGAACCAGGGTGATGGTAACCTTTGGATTGGCCTACAAAAATACATCATCCCTGAAGAACTCTTTTGTGGTTGGTTGCTAGGACATTGCTGTGCAGTTGCTAAAGAGTTTCTTGCTTCTTGCAATTTCAAATGAGATATGTACTGAGGTTTAATATTTAGCATTAGGGTGGTTGTTCAAATCCCTAACCTAAGTATGAGCAATAGTAGTAGTGACTTGCCTTAGCAAGCAGCGCTAATTATCATAGGTTAGTTAGGGATTTGAACAACCACCCTAATGCTAAGTATGAGCAATAGTAGTAGTGACTTGCCTTAGCAAGCAGCGCTAATTATCATAGGTTAAAGTCAGATTTGTAAACACAGAGAAGAAACTTGAATTGCAGAGGAAGCTGATATATATGGTGGAATACAGCCACAGTCCTTATTATTGTGCATGGCCTGTCCTAATGGGACTATATGTGACCCTGGACCACAAAACAGTCATAAGGGTTGATCATCAGATTAATACACCATCTGAAAGCTGAATAAATAAGCTTTCCATTGATGTTTGGTTTGTTAGGATAGGACAATATTTGGCCGAGATACAACCTAATTATCATAGGTTAAAGTCAGATTTGTAAACACAGAGAAGAAACTTGAATTGCAGAGGAAGCTGATATATATGGTGGAATACAGCCACAGTCCTTATTATTGTGCATGGCCTGTCCTAATGGGACTATATGTGACCCTGGACCACAAAACAGTCATAAGGGTTGATCATCAGATTAATACACCATCTGAAAGCTGAATAAATAAGCGTTCCATTGATGTTTGGTTTGTTAGGATAGGACAATATTTGGCCGAGATACACCTATTTGAAAATCTGGAATCGGAGGGTGCAAAAAAAAAATCAAAATATTGAGAAAATCGCCTTTAAAGTTGTCCAAATGAAGTTCTTAGCAATGCATATTACTAATCAAAAATTAAGTTTTAATATATTTACAGTAGGAAATTTACAAAATATCTTCATGGAACATGATCTTTACATAATATCCTGATGATTTTTTACATAAAAGAAAATCGATAATTTTGGCCCATACAATGTATTTTTGGCTATTGCTACAAATATACCCCAGCGACTTAAGACTGGTTTTGTGGTCCAGGGTCCCATATGGTGAATCACCTTTGCTCCTGTCTCTCCAGGAGCCCCTCGACCTCCATCTGCCCCTGATCGGCCCTGCAAGGTCAAACACAGAATACCACTTCGTCATCATATTCTCTGCACCGCTTTATGCAATATTCATGAAGCAAAAAACACAGCACATCAATAAGGAAACTGTTATCGCCCAATTTATATTCATGATGAGGTTAATTAAATGGATCAGACTTGAACTTTGATCACTGTTCCATTGATTTTTTTTTTTTCACTACGTGTAAGATGTTCAGTCTTACCCTCTTCCCTGGTTTCCCATTAAGACCAGCAGGGCCTGGCAACCCACGTGGCCCCTGAAAAGAGAAGAATAAGAAACAGACAGAGAGATGATTTCAAAGCCTACTGAATGTAAAGCGGGAATATAAAAGGAAATGTCCTCACCAGAGGCCCAGGCTCTCCACTGTCGCCTTTTAGTCCACTGGGACCTGGAAGACCCTGGAAGAAACATACATTTTCAAAGACAGAACGTATCCACTGAACCCAATAAACCCAAAAAACAATCTGAATTTGGAGTAGATAGCATAGCCTGTGCTAAAACAAAATCTGAAATAAACTGGAAAATAAATGACAAAGATTTCTTACCACTGGGCCTGGCCTCCCTGTGAGACCTAATGGACCTGGAGGGCCCTTCAATGATAGCTAGAAGCAAAGAAAAATAAAAACAAACAGAAAAAGTTCCACGTTTTTCTTCATCCTTAACCTGCATTTATACTTGTATTTGTACTGAATTTGTAACATTTCTATATTGTCCAAAATTAAAAAATGACCTATTCTCAAACCTGGCTTTAAGCTGAGTATAGATCATAAACAACTACGTATTGGGATAATACACTGTAACACCATTTAATATTACGCAACATCTATAGTTTTACAATGTCTGAAGACATTGTGTGTAAAGCTAGGGTGTTGTAGGTTGTAACATGCCTAGAGTTCTGAGCAGATTTTGTGTGTTGGTGTGCTGTAAAAAAAAGTAAAACCAAAGAAAAAAAAAACAAACCTAATGAAGTCAGGTCAATTCAGTCATATTAAATTATATTTTTATTTGAATAAATCAAGTACACTACAGTTTTAGGTCATTATGTTTTTTTTTGTTATTGTTGTTTTTTGAATAAAAATTATTCAACAAAGATGCATTGATTCATAAAAAGTGACAGTAAAGACTTCAATTGTTTAAAAAAAATCTATTTTGAATAAATGCTCTTTTGAAATTTCTATTCATCAAATGCTGTCACAGTTTTCACAAAAAATATTAAGCAGCACAGCTGTTTTCAACATTGATAATAATAAATGTTTCTTGAGCAGATAATCAGCATATTAGAATGATTTCTGAAGGATCATGCGACACCGAAGACTGAAGTAATGGCTGCTGAAAATTCAGCTTTGCATCACAGGAATAAATAACATTAATAGTTATAGAATATATAATAGAAAACTAACAGACACATCTCCTCACATAGCCACATAACTTGTAGGTTTAATTTGTGTCTGTATCAGACATACAGGATGAGTTACAGTACATTCCAAATTTCAATATTTTTGGTGTTAGTGGTTTGTTGAAATCCGTAAACCTATGTATGCGCATTAGTGAAAGTGATGCTTGTTTTAGCAAACACCACTGATTATACAGTCATGATAAATGAGTGAAGGGGACAGATGTAAGAGCCAAAGACCGTTTGGTTTGAGTGTCTTACTTTGGTCTGTTGTAAGATGGCTTGAGCCTGCGCCTCTTGAGCAGATATCACAGGTCCCTTCTGAGAGTCTCCTCCATACTGGAACTGAGTGCAAAAAAGAGATTACTAACTAAATAATTTATGTACATTAAGTCACTATTAAAGATATATTTTAACAAATAAATGGAAATATACTGGATGCCATTAAGTCTGATTATATCACAGCTCCACCATGTGGCCAAAATATGCTATTGAGGCCCAGGCCTCATGTTTTGTGATGTAAATTTTTTATTATTTTCTTCTGGCAAACAACTCCTGCTAATGAGATGTAAGTGGTTTAAATGTGTTACTGAAGCAATGACTTCATCTTACAGGTAACATAAGCAAAGTGCCTGGAGGACCTGGTATCCCATCAGCGCCAGGCAGCCCTGGACGTCCCTCAGGACCCTTGCGGGAGGAGAGACAATTAGCTCAATTAATTGAAGGAGCATTTCTGTACATGCATGTGTGCACAATTGTATCAGCAATACTTACTTGATAAAACAATTGCATAAGCAATTGTTCTTCAATTTATTCCCTATCCATTGGCTTGTTTCCTGAATACAGTCTAACACTTAATGAAAATTTTTTTTTTTTAACATGTTGCCTGTATCAAAGCCTACTGTGCTCATTTGCCTGGTGTAAAACATTTAAGAGCTCAGCCAATCAAAGCTGTCAGTCAACAGCCCTCTTCCAACAACACAGAACTTCAACCTTCAAAAGAAAAGATAAAACCTGCGGCTGGAATATTTTCCTTTGCCTTTCAGCTTCGGAAACGTTATAGGATCTCTATAGATATACAAGGCCAAAAAGAGCTTACATCTCAAGTGACACACTTTCTCAACCTAGTCTGATGTTTTTACTAAAACAATTCTTTTGTGAAGCTGACACCCCAGAGAAGTTGATTCACAACCGGCTAGAGGCGCTAAACTGAGCAGAGACAAAAGAATACTCTTTTAATCTTCATCCCTACTGTCAGAGGTAAATGATGAATTCAGGCTCTTTATTGCAGTTAGAAGTCTGCTGTCTGTTTTACCATGCTAAGGGATCGTGTGTAAAGAGTGAGTCACGTTACAAGAACAGACACACTGTCCAGCGCAAATTAGGTCAAACTATCAGATGAGTCATGACTCCCTGATGCCTAAGGTCTCAGTAGAGGTTGGTGGTCCCTTCGAGTAGCTCTGAGTCATCGGTGAGGTTTGTTCCATCTGCACACGAGTCCAATCATCCCCCCGATCCCCCGGTTGTGTCCTGTGTGTCTCAAGGTTCTTGCCAAGTCATGTGGGTCAAGTGATTATGAGGACACTCACCATATCACCTGGGTCTCCGCTGGGTCTCGGTTGTGTCCTGTGTGTCCTGGACTCAAGGTTCTTGCCAAGTCATGTGGGTCAAGTGATTATGAGGACACTCACCATATCACCTGGGTCTCCGCTGGGTCCCGGGGGTCCTGTGATGCCAAGGATTCCTGGAAGACCCTGGGGAATAAACAGACACACAAATTGTTTGTTTTTTTTATGAAAAAATACTGGACACCACTTCAAGACCACCTTAATTCACTTGAAGGCAGGGGCGCGGGAAGTAGGGGTGCTGAGGGGGCTGCAGCACCCCCTGTTTTCACATGGTTGCAAATGCAACGCCAAGTTTATTCATTTAAATTTATTCAGTTTTAGCTTTTAATAATTTATTTGTAAAGATCTCTGAAATGTAAATTGTAAGTGGGCTATAATAAACCCATGTGAAGGCTATCAATTTCTTCCCTATGTTTTTCCATATTATTCTTAAAAACTCCATGCTTTATTAAATCTTAATAGTATTATGACTTACTTGTGGTCCTGGTGGGCCAGGAGGTCCTTGAAAATATGTGCCCTAGTTAGTATAAAACACAAGGAGATTAGAATTAGATTGCATTAGCCAACATAAATCAGTGTGTGTGTGTGTGTGTGTGTAACTTCACTCTCCAGCACTCACTGGTTCAACAACAGCTGGCTCTCCCTTCTGTCCTTTGTCAAATCGCCTGCCCTGTAAGAGAAAGAACAGGTAAAAGATGAGATCTTGGTCACAACTGGTTGAGATTGGAGTTGTTACAATAATTTTCAAAGTAGTTTATAAAAATTTCAGTGTACATTTGTGATTATTGATACCAATTTTTATACCACACCAAAAACAATAGAACATGAACATTTATTTAAGAAGTTAAATATTTAAAGAAATCAAGAAAGAATTAATGAATAAATAAATAAATAAATAAAACTAACTAACTAATGGAAAGTGGGCATTTATTTAAAAAGTTAAATATCAATATAAATACTGTATTCTCAAAATTAATTAAAACAATGACGTTTAGCTTTCAGTATTTTTCAATTAAATAAACATTACTTTTTGAAAATCTTTTCAAGTTTTTATTTATGTAAACATTAAATAATAAATAAATAAGCTAATGGAAAGTGGACATGTATTAACAAAAATAACTGAATTAAAACTGACATTTATCTTCCATTATTTCTCAGTTAAGTAAACATTGCTTTTGCATATTTATGCATTTTGCATATTTATACATAAATCTGATACTGTATAAAAACTACTATTACTGCATTTCTGTCTTATTTTAGTATCAACTTGGGCATCCCTAAATGGGATGAAGAGGAAATCCATGTTTGCTTGTGTGTTTTTAGTTAATTTATTATTGAGGTACAAAAGTGTACCTCTCCATCCCATGTGCCCGGCATTTCCCTCTCCGCTGGGTCAAATCGGTCCTCATAAACCTCATATTCCTCATATTCCTGTTCAAAGCTGTTCGAGCCATTTTGAAACTCATCATTCTCCGAGATCTATGAATGCAGAAAACATCCCAACAGCACACAGTCAGGGTTATCACCTCAAACATGCTTGCAATGTTCGGAAAACCCAGAAACAGAAACCAGAGTACATACCTCATAGTCTGTGATATTGGGCCCAACTGTCACTGTGGAGACCAAGAGCTCATTGTGTTCATCACTATAAAGGTCATCACTAAACTCCTCAACCTCTGGCGTTTTAATCGGCCTCTCTTCCTGCACACCGACACAGCAGAATTAGACGCAGCACAGCCATGGCAACCACAACCATGGAGATACCGAGCACAGTCAGTCATTTCCACTCTACATTAGTTTGGGTTCACTGGGCATCTGAGCTTCAGAGACACTAAGGCCTGAAATATAGTCTACACAAGTACATGATTGCAAATTGCGAAATGTATCTGAATGCAATTCATACGTATGCGTTGCATTCTCAGCGTTGCCACAAGGGAGTGCTATATAGTGTGTATTAGCATAAACTTGTCTTGTTTTATGTCCCCCCCACCACCTCACCTCAAGTTAACTACTGTCATGGCTGAGTGACAGTAAGATGAAAATCTTGTTTTAAGTTACAGCGCTGAAGAGTAACAGATGTTTGATTGCAACTCTTTTGCCCCCTTGAGTACCGAGATTTTTTTGTAATGCAAGAAGCCATATTAAGTATGTACAACCTGCCTGTGCACTTGCAGTGTGCTGGCCAAGCATTTGCAACTGCGTTTGCGTACTTGCATAGAATATGTTTCTGGCCTAACTGTGCTTCAGATCTCTAGGTCAATGATGACTAATTAAAATGTTAGCACAATTCACAGAAACTTTTTGGTTACAAAGCTGGCTTGAAGTCATACATACTGCTAAGCTGGTGAGTGTGGGGTAGGTGGTTTTATTAACAACGGGAGATGTCAGCACAAAAGACGTATGTTCTGATGGCAGCCATAGCAGCATGAAAGGAAGGGTGAGCAAACTTGGCACACTGATATTGGCATCTGAGTTTTACCTCAGCAGAAGCTTGATTCATTCAATAAAAACTACATCTATTAGAGCTGTCGGAGGCGAATGTATCAAAAAGATGCATGAAAATGTATTTATGTTAGACACAGTCCTGTTTTTCATTCTGTCTTGGAGTGCATCTTTCAGTTTCAATCTATAAAGTGTGCCAAGTCAACAAATAAAAGCGTAACTCTATGCTAAAACCTGAATAAAATATGCATCATGTCTCATATTCAACTTGTGACACACATCAGTGTGTTACTGTTGCAATGAGCCATAATCCATATGCATTTTGATCAACACATCTCACTAAAGCTACAAACTATAACTACGGTGTAGTTCTTTTATGAGCCTAACATCTTGGAAGAAGAGTTTTGGTGCTGTTATTGGGGAGGTTAGAATGGCAGAGGCTGGTTAGTACAGTGGATGACTGGTGGTTAAAATGTGTGAGGGAGAGTCAGTGATTGGTCAGGAGAATGATGGGGAGGGAGGAGGAAGTATGGGCAACCACACTGGCACTGTAAGTTCTACCTCCACCTCCATATTTGGGGACTCAGAAACTGCTGTTGCCAACACTGACTGGTCCTCATGATCTGTCACAGGCTTTGTAATGGCTATGGTGAGTTCGCCCTGATAGGTGTCAGGTTCGTGAGTGGGCATGTCGGGTATGGAGTCCATCAGATTGACCGTTGTTGTTGGAGATGATTGTACTGGTGACTTGGGCTGCTCTGTCACAGGTGGATTTGGCTGCTCTGTTGCAGCTGGTAAAGTTCTTCGATGAGGTTCTTGAACCAAATACTCCGGCAGCTTAGAGGACACCTCAAGAAAACCTTCTTCAAGAGCTTCAGCTTCCTTTTTCTTCTTACGGGATTCTTTTTTGCCTTTCTTATCTCTCTTTTTCTTGTTCTTTTTGCCTTTGCGGTCTTTTTTTGAGCGTTTCTTTGGTTCCACTGGTTCGTCTTCCTGCATTATGTCATCAAGGTTATGGATGGGTTTGGCCTTTTATAGATGGGGCAAGGGGTCAGAGGTCGGGTATAGATGAACAGAATTAAAACGCTTACAATTTCAAGACAGAAGGACAACACAACTTCAAAATCATTCTAAAATGTATATGACTGGCTCTCTACATCTCTACATAATTGAATCTAAAATTAAGGTAGCTGACTGATTCCGCTAGACAATGTATTATTCTCTTTGCAAATTAGGTCAAAGTTGAACTTGTTCTCAATTCAGATATGCACTACATTATCTGCCCACAATTCAAGGGGTCAGAGTTGAGCTGCTTACAGGCTATTATGAGAGGCCCTGACTGAATAGGCTTGATGAGGCCTGTCGAGTAGAGATTATATGATTAATGTGAGAACCAAAGTGAGGTGTTGAGATGCCAAGTCGGGCAGGATAGAATGAGATCAGTGTGAGCTCTGGTAATAGGTCAGTAATGTGAGCAATGCTGATGAATCTCGCCATTAGTCCCTCTTCTCTCAGCTGTTGTGGGAACTGAAAGCCAGCTGGCTCTACCTCTGAACGGCTGCCGATAGACACTTTTCCTTGAGCCAACTTGGAGAGAGACATAGGCAGACATTTACATTCAGCACACTTGCACAAAACTGGGCGTGGGAGCTGTGAGGAGAAATAAATGCACAATGACCTTAAGCGTTCCTCCCAGAAGGCCGCAGAGAAATGCTAACCTACTGACATGATGACTCACTGGGCTGACTCACCCGCACGTGTATGTTCACAACAAACACAAATCATCACAATCGAAAAAACATGTTCAAAATGTCCACATAAAAAATATCACATTATGAAAACAAATATGGGCCATTCTGTTTATTTGAAAGACAAAGAAGTGCTCTTGCAAGAAAGCTTCTTGTCCCCTAAGCGGTGATTAGAAAATTAATTATGTAATTAAAAAAATACCATCTTTGTTAAAAAAAGAATACAGAAATTTTTGAGCCAATCACCGGAGCCATAAATTCCTCCGTATGTGTTTATATTTTAGATTTTGGAAGAAATCTCTTCTTATCAAAGATACAGTGAAAACAGTAATAATGTGAAATTATTACAAATTAAAATTTATAAATGAATATAATTTAAAATATATTTTATCCCTGGGATGGCAAAGCTAACATTTCAGCATCCTTACTGCAGTCTTCAGTGTCACATGAAATCATTGTAATATGCTGATTTCATGCTCAAGAAACATTTCATATTGTTATCAGTGTTGAAAACAGTTGCTGCTCAATATTTTAATGATGCATTTAATGATTTTCAGATGAATAGAAAGTTCAAAAGAACAACATTTATTTGAAATATAAATCTTTTGTAACATTATAAATATCTTTACTGTTATTTTTAATCTATTTAATGTATCCTTGTTGAATAAAAGTATTAATTTCATTTTAAAAATAAAAATCTTACTGATCCCAAACTTTTGAACAGAATTGTATATATTTGTTTATATAATATTACATATAGTATACTGCATTATTTAATCAGAATAAATCCAATCAGTATTTGTATTAATGTGTTTAAGTCCATCAATGAGGTTTTTTAATGTTAGCAGTGTGCTAAAGACCCCTATGTTGTTGTTGGTGTTATCATTATTATTATTATTTAAATATTCATATTTGCATATTTTATTGTTGCAGTCTAATGAATTCTTTGTTGTTTTTGAATCAAAAAGCAGAAAATAAAATAATTGAAATAATTTATGCACATCTACAGTTGTGCGTTTAAACCAAAAACAATATTGTTTATACTAAAAATATAGATTGGTTGATTCCTAGAGCTGATGGAGTGTTAGTGCTTTTGCACCTAAGCACCAAGCAATTTTATTCATATGCATGCCTGTACTGTTTATTGGCTGGCTCAGATGAGTGCTCTGGGAGCCGAGCCCAGAAGCCAGAACAGTAAAAAGTGCAAACAGATAAATGTAAATGTGGAATTGAGAAGCCAAGGCAGCTCTTGGGCTCTTCCAAAAAGAGGAAGACATTTTTGGCCAAGCTGGAACAAATTATGTCTTCATAAAGGTCTGCAATTTTCTGGAAAACTGTGAGGCTGGTTGCTCAAAGTTCATTGGGAAAACAAGTGTTTCTTTCTCTGTTTGCACATGATACTTGCACATGATACTTTTGCACATGCTAAAATGTGAGGAGTCTGGAGAATAATACAAGACAAACTGAATGGACCAATAAATCTGGGCAGAAAAACAGGATGTCATATGGATGTAAAATAAATCAGATGGAAATAAGACAATGAGCTTTTTTTGATTACATGGGGAGCCAAACTCACAGAGAAATCACTAACCTCTTCAGGAGCCAGACTCTGGGTACTGTTGGGCAACGGGCTGTCACAATCGGGAATGTAATCTTGGCAGTAGTCAGCCGCAGCCTGAGGATCATCCACGAGCAAGAGCTGCTGGATCTCACCCTGTAACACAAACATATAACATATGCATTGATTCGGTAATATTCACTGCACTGGTGTAATTCTTGTGATCAAAGAGAAATAAAACCCCGTTTAACACTGCATAACTGGAGAACATGCTGATGTAAAGCAGAAAAGTAAATTAAGATGAAAAACAACTTTTGTAACACTGATGAAATCGGGGTAAAACTTGTCAAAATTTTTTTGCATATAGTATTAGGCATTTTGGAAGCACACTGCAAATAAACGTTTATGCTTCAGGAAAAGCAATCTTCACTTCAAAAATATATTTTACACACTTTAGACTTCTATAAACTGTTCAATAAATTGTTCATAAATTCGCTCTGTCTCCTATATTGCTATTATAGGGCTGCCGTTAAAGCCAAAAGACTATGTATTTGACTGCAGTCCCTGTCACAAAACTCTGGCACCAGCATCAGCCCACTAAGAAATTAAAGCAGCAGTGTAATGGGCAGCAATTTAGTGATAGTCCCAGCACAGAGGAAGCACGTGTGAAAAATGACTACACATCTCTGACTATGCTGCCCTCAAGATTGAAATCAGGCCCTAACCATAGGTTGGTGCTATAACCACAATAGACACTGAAGGGGACATGTCTCCTCCTAATAATGAGATATGGCCAAATTGACCATTGTTGTTAGAATGACTAAACGTTACATATTGAGGGTGGTCTGCCACAGCAATTTCAAAATGACTGAGATGGCCAGTCAAATCAAAGAAGGTGGGAATTCCAACACAATGCTTGAGCAAGGTAAGAAGCAGCTAAAAATATAATATTTGACAACTGTTTTAAGATGCAAATGAATGACAGAAATACCCTGTAATGTACTTTTTTCCAAGTTTGCTGTTTTGAATGAAAAATAGCCTATATACATTTTTCATGTGATTCATGTAATTCATAATTGAATGTGACTAGACAAGAAAAATTTATGGAGCCATTTTCAACATATTAAGCATTTGATTAAGAGTGATTATGCACATATTTAAAAAGAAAAAAAATTATTTGCAAATAGCTCAAATGCAATATTAAAAAAAAAACGTAGCTCTATTTTTGTTCTTTATTCTCTATATCTCTTTATAAAGCAAATTTAAAAAATGTTTTAAATCACTTTATCCTCTTAATCCACTAATTCCTTTAAATAAAAATTACCATCTGGCTGCAAAAAACATCTTTCTTCATTCAAAAGTGGCTTCAAAAGTGTATTTTGATCAAATAAAATGTGTTGCAAACAACATCTATATTCTATTTTTAATGAATTACATTAAAGTTTGCGTATTGTAGGATGCTTGGTATAAAATAGAACTCTGAAATCTGTTTGGATGAACAGATACCGTATTTGTAAATAAAATGTATTTCACGAGTTCACACTTACATATAATAAATAGAGTAAAGGTTATGCGTATTATTATTATTGTTATGCGTAATATACACAAACTCATTCGGCAGTAGAGTACAGCCAAACCACAGCATTTCTCACATTAATCTGACATATGTTGGATCTTAAAAGGAAAATAAATCCGTATACCTAGCCAACTAATTACACTCCACTGATCCCACAAGTGTTCTCTTCTATCTATCTGTCGGCTAAAATTAGAGCCTTGTGCTTGACAACTCAAGAACTAAACAAGCCAGTTAACACAGTTTTAAAACTGGATCAGCGGACCAGACATGAACTGGATATTATGGATCTTATCTGCATCTTCTAAGCAGAATCAGAAACAGAAATAATCCTAGAAATAATTTAAAATGTGGATAATCTGCTGTTTGTTTTTGTGTGTGTGTTCTAGTTCAGTTCTCTAGTTCAGAAAGACTTCGATTTGTAAGAATCTGGCTCCCCAGGCTCCCGAGCAGCTTTCCCACGCTGAGAGATTTGGACCGGAATATAAGACCTCTGGATTCCCCCTCAGTCCAGGGCCTGGGAACTGGCCTCAGATTGGGTCGAACTCACACATCCCCCAGTACAAGCCTCACCCAGATCACACTGACCCCATGACACAGATGCAGCTCTATTGGAAGGATTAGAATGAATGGGGAGTGGACCCCGAGAGAAAGAAAAATGAGGGGAATTAGTCATCATTCATCATCACGGTTGTTCTGAAAAGCACAACGAAGAAGGATGAAATTTCTTTCTTTTTTTTAAAGCACAAGAGGTGGTACGGACTCTTAATCATTGCTCAAATAGAGATGTTTTGCTGCAAACGTGACTGAAACTAAAGGGTTTGCTGCCAAGATAGTCAATGACTTGACACAATTATTTAAGGAAACTGTCTTCAGGCCACCTTCCAAGTCATCATCATGTCATGACTGGTTAGCTTGTGAACATTGTTAGTCATTAAAGTGAATATTCAATGACTAAAATATTTTTCCTGGTAGGAACTGAATCATCAGGCTGGAAAAAATGAAACAAATGAAAATTAAATTGATAATCTCAAATTATTAATTCTGCTTTAAGATGTTATTTTTTATTAACTAACCACCAAACCACACACACAGGATTGTGGGATATTACAAACAGTGAATGAAGCATCTATGCTGCGATTAAAAATCGACCAGATGGAGACATCTTAGTAGACAGGATGTCACGCAAATGTTGGACTGGGACGTGCCATGATGACTCTTTGTCTGAAAAGACAGAATTTTTCAAGTTTTAGACACAACCATAGTGAAGGAAGCTCTTCAGATAGCTTCTTGCTATTACCAGGATTTGTTAACAATGGGACATTGATTTGGGCAGGATTTTGGGACGTATGGAATGGAATGGGATGGGTATTGTGTTTCTCTGGGTGCTGTTTCAGCCAAAACAGCTAAAGGCAAACAGTGGTATTGGATGGGTGGAGTTTGGGAAGTAAAGTTATTGCAGTGGGCTGCTGGAGGACATGTGGCGTGTGCTACATTGGACCTAACAAAACATCTGTTTTTTTGTGGTGGAAGCAGATAGAGGACCCTTAAATGTACATTAGACTGACAATAGCATTCCCAGAATGCTAGAATCCAGCATACATAAGCATGAGGATATAGCCAAGAGCAGTGATGCAACTTCAACTCTAATCTACATCTAGCCAGAACCATCAACCACAAGAAACAAGAGATTAGTCATGGAGTTATTCATCTGAATGTTATATAAACATTAAGAGAGTCTTATATAGGCAGATATGAACCCAAACACACAGCACAATGAAACCAAATACCCAACATTTATCAAATGTTGGAGCTCAAGAAAACCACAAAAAAAAGAGGCTCTTTGCAGTGATGATAATGGAGATCTTACAAAAAGGTAGCGTAGTTCTCCCAAAAATGTAAATTTTTGTTATAATTTTCTTACCCTTATGCCTTTCCAAACTTGTATGACTTACTGATGTGCTAGTCATTTTTTCATTTAATAATGACACAGAAGCCCCATATAAATATAAACACTACAAATTGCATAAAAACAGTTCATATGACTGCTCCTATCATCTGAACTGATAGCTTTGGGTGTAAAACAGACTTACATTTAGGTCCATACACACTGTTTATCTTCCACGGTTAACCACTAGCTGTTAACCACTTCAACTTGATTGAGTCAATGATTGAACGGGATCAGATTCACGAACGAATCATTCAAGTTTTGAGAACAGGATCGACCAAAATTTTATTCGTTTTGGAAGAATCTGACATTGTTAGTTCTTTAATGATTTTCATTAAATAACGACTTAAATTTCACTCACATGGTGTGTTTTGTTTTGTCATTTACGTAGTCACTTTCATTATATTGTAAAAATAAATGGCCATGATATTCAAAAATTCATCTTTTGTGTATGATGTAAAGAATGTCATACTAGTTTGGACTGGCGTGAGGGTGAGTAAAACAACAAAATCCAGACTATCCTTTTAAGGTGTGTTGATGCTTGAAAAAAAAAACTCAATGAACATTCTCATTAAAAGGCTTGGAAATACACACTCTTCAACCAAAATTTTTAATGCATTAAATTAAATACAAAGAGTAAAGGCTCATCTTTAAAAAAATAAGTGAATGTGTGCTCATTCAGACAGCACTAATTCACAGGTGAGCAGGGTGGTACTTCCAGGTATTCTCTAGAAGTGGAAACAAGCCTGAACAGCACCCATTTATTTCTCTCTGTGGAGACAAGACCCCAACTTCAGCAGCCCAGACAACTGCCTCTGATCCACTCTATTTCAAACTGTTCAATTAAACATAAAACAAATAGACCACTAGTTTATTCCATTAAAGCAAATCAGAGGCATAAATATATATGAAATTATGCTGATCTGAGATTCCCTGTCACCTCTCAAGAGAAATATCTTGTTTGCTGTTTGTTTGAGAGTTAAGGGGAGTATGATGAGCATATACTGCAGCATTTATAAAGAAGCTGAAGAGAAGTGGGTTGAGGAAATATGAAACTGCAGCAAAGAGAGTGTGTTATTAATAAGAATGTAATGTGAATTATCGTTTAGAATAAGAATGACAAATATTACAGAAGTAAAATCTACAGAAGCATTATTGTTCTGATTGGGTGTGATTAATTTTAATGGTTAAAATGACCCAGACATTTCTTAGTGAGATTTGTTGAAAGGACTGTCACTTGAGTACATAAATGATTTTGGGACATTTTGGACTATGTTTAAAGGGGTCCTATTATGCTTTTTCACTTTTTGAATTTTAGTCAGTGTGTAGTTTGTATGTTTGGCCATAAAAGAGATCTTCAAACTTACAAATCTCAAAGTCCACTCCAATGGGAGATATTTAGTTTTTTTTTAAATCCCTTTTCAAGAACTACAATGAACGGCTCGTTTGGACTACAGCGTTTGTTTTCCGGGTATTGTGATATCACAAAGCGGCCCATTAGAATATCATTAAAATAAACCCCGCCTACGGAAATTCTAATGGTTGGGGGGTGGGGAGGGGCGAGGTCTAGTTAGAACGCTTCGTTGAGTGCATCAGACAAGACGACGAAGAAGAAGTGCTGCTGTAGCCTGAAGTTTTTGCAAGTTATTACACATGCACCTGAATAATTATGTATGTAACTATGTTTTTATAATAAATTGCTGACAGTACAATACTGGACAATGATGTAATCTGCAGAATTTACACTTCAATTATGAGACTACAGTGTTTCCCATACATTGAGTGCGGGTGTTTTTATATCACTGTATTTCTGAAAGAAACCGACTGTCTTCAGAAAATTGGATGTCATTTTCTTTTAATCTTGCATGTAATGTCTGATAAAGCAGTGTTTTTTTTTAGCAGAGCGCTGCTTTATGTATAGCCATTACCGGGGAAACCTTGATCTCTACCACTCCAGAGAGAGAATGAGTTTGCATAGATATGCCGCCTGGGAAACACTGGATTATGGTATAAATAAATTCAACTGTATAACAGTTTCACTGCAATTCATGTTATAATGTTAGAATTAAATAACAATAAAAATAATACATATGCACTTATCTGTACATAGTAAATGCAGTTATTTTTACGCGGTTGTTGACATTCTATCTAAAACGTGATTTAGCCAAAAAAAAAAAAAAAACAACAACAATAACGTTACCACTCTAATATGTCTTGCAATATACGTGCATGCAAAGGTTCTGCGCGATCCTCTTGTTCAATATTCTCTATATTTGCAATATTGACGCCATCCTTAACTAAACCGGAGCAGACGGAACTTGCTGCTTTGGCAAGGGTCGGGGCAGTACTGAAACACCATCTAAGCTGTTCACCAATCACAACGCACTGGGACAGCTAACCAATCACATCACATTTCGTTTTTCGGAAGGCGGGCCTTCATCAAACCCGGAACTAATCGAGCCGTTTGTACCAGGATGGGGAGAAAGGTATTATAATAATGTAAATTATGTAAAAAAATAATGCGCTTTTCGAACCACCAAGCATGAGAGCATGTTCTAGTACACCCCCAAAACAAATTCAAGACATTGTAAAAGAGCATAACAGGACCCCTTTAAGACAATACACTACAGGCAAAAACCATGCTCTGGTCAATTTTGAGATTTTGGCCTATTTTGCTCACATAACATGCCCTCATTCAGAATAGTGGAAGGAAAACATCCAAAATACACATTTATGTGTCTATTCTATTACACTTCATCTATTTTCATTTATAGATTTCAAGTACAATACCTTTAATATCTTTAAAGACTGTTTTATTCCAATCTATATTCTGTAACCCCGGTTTTGCCTTTGTCAATCATGGCCTCCTAATAATCCCCAACCACTTGATTGGCTCTATGACTCTCTCTCTCCTCTCCACCTGTAGCTGGTGTGTGGTGAGCGCACTGGCGCCGTTGTCCTGTGGCTGCCGTCGCATCATCCAAGTGGATGCTGCACACTGGTGTACAACAATACACAATAAAGCGCTATATAAATGCATCATTCATTCTTAACCTGCCCTAATTGGACTATTTGGGTAAAACATGTCCTTGTATGAGATGTCTGATGTTTTGTACCTCAAATACTTCCTCATCTAGCAACCGCGTCCCAAAAACAACGACTCCATCCGTGCTGACCACAGGGCTGTCTCCACGCATCAATTCCAGCGTCTGCACCTTCTTACAGTCCAGGTACAGTGTAACAGACTTGCCCTCCACTCTGTAGGCTATTCGATGCCATCTGAGAAGGGATGACAGCTGGGTTAATCAGTGTCAACAACAGCAGAGTTTTATCACAGTTCTAACCCAGGGGTAAAAGTGATACTTACTGCTGTTCCAGGAGCATGGCTATTAGAGGTGGATTATGGGTCGCTTAAATGTGAAAGAGCATTCTATAAATGGACACTGTGATGCTATGGTACCATAGCCAGATCAGGAGTCTAGTTGAAAAATTTATTTTTATTCTGCAAAAGCCACACTTTAAAATAGCTCTCATCCTCCAACAATTATACATGTTGGAATACATCTACTCATAATAATGTATTTATGAATGCAAAGCACGATTCATAGTGCATAATAGCAAAAAAGTTTTCATTGTCTCTGCTTACACCTGGTATTAACATCCATTTCAGATGATCTGATTAAAGATAAATACAAGTCTAAACACAGTCCAAAATATTTTGTGATCAGATCATTCAAACCATAACAAAGAATGACCATTTACACATGAACACGCAATCATATTCACATTACTATCTGGTTTAATCTGCAAATTTATCTCAGCAGATCACATTAAATCTGACCACACATAATGAATATTAATACCCATTGTTAAATGCGATATTGGTATTCACTCAATCTCCATTTAATTTACACATTAGCTAGCTAAAAGATTTTTCACTTTTGCGAGTGGAAGCTGATTAATTCTGATTCCCGTTTAATTTATTAATACAAGTTCCTAGTCTAACTTATTCATCAAAATGTAAATGTAAAACCTGCTCTTCCTATTCCACTGACATCACTAAGGCCGCACTGGCTATTGGATAATGTTTACCAGTAACCAATATATTATTAGCTATATTAGCTATTCAGGCATTTATTTAGCAATGTCACATTTAGTCTGAATAAAATCAAGTTCAAGATTTATCCTGTTTTGCTACGAAATACATCAGATTATTGAAGTAAAAGGGGTTGTGAACAGCAAATCTCATCGGTTACAAGTAAAGAAAACTTAAGGGCACTTCAGAGCTAGGAATGCATAAAAAACACTCACTTCCCATCAGCCAGATTGATTTTCTTAAAAATGGGGTAGAGATCTGGAGCTGGCTGGCCTTGGTGGTCTTCATAGAGGAATACAGGTGATCGGCCCATCTCCAGCCCCAGCTGTTGGACTCCCTGCTCATCATACAAAGACACCAGGAAGAATTGAGAGTTTTTCTTAGCCTTGACAGTGGTCATCAGAGAGAAGTTCTCAGGGAAAGCAGAATCTATGAAGAAAACAGCAAAGCATCATTCATATATAACACAATGTCTGTAGAATTTGCACTTCAGAAAACCCCATGGCCTCAAATGCTTGTAGGGTTGTGAAAGTATGTTTCAAAGAGTCCATACCTGGAAAGAATTGTTTAGTTGGGGCACTGAGTTGAATCTTTTTGTCTATCCTGTAAGCCATGTCTGTTTCTGATGTGTCCTTTCTTTCGATGCACAGGCCGGCCTCCACTGACACTCCCTCCATGTCTTCAGACAGCTCCAGTACCCGTAATACATTGATCAGATTAGCTGTACACAAAAGAGAGAAAAAAACTGAGTTTCATTTGTAGGCTGCTATAAACAGATTACTTTTTTGGTGAGTACATTTTAGTTTACTTTTAAAAAGATTACTTATTATTTTAGTTGTAGGTGGTTAAAAGAGGTGGGGTATTAATAGTGCAGGATGGTAATTTCATAAAAAATTGGCATCTGCTAACTTGATGTCCCATGCTGAAAAATCCAACAAAAAAGTTTGAAATAATTATTTATTACAGAAATAACAAAATATTTAAGTAACAAAAATACTTTAAAAGAATATACTTAAGTATGAACTGAATGTAATGTTTTCAAGCACTTAACTGCATGTTAATTGCAAATAAATGAAAATGTATTATAGTTCAAATTATATATTAAAAATATATATAAAACATATTATAAAATATATTAAATGCAATTAGCTTTTTTAACCACTTAAGTAAGACTTAAGTACATCTTAAGTACATCTTTACATATAATTTCATAATTACCTGTTGTCACGGAATTATGGTTAAAATGTACTGCAGAATGTACTGACAAGCAAAAAATTTAATGTCATTATTACTGAAATCTGTATGTTATGTTTTTACATATTGTGGCGAGCTACCCAAGCAATCATTAGCATTGTCATGGAGAGGGAGAGGATCCAATTACCAGGAGGCGGAGTCTGTGAACAGGAGCCACCTGAGAGCCATCAGGAGAAGGGGATATAAACAGAGCAGAAAGAAGCATCAAGGGGAACGAGATCTCCTAAAACCAGGCTAACGTTGTCTCTGGTTCTTTTCCTCACGCAGGCTCCAGTGATTATTAAGAGATCCCAGATCACAAGGTTTCGTCCGGCAGGTTCCTGCTAGTGATGCAAAGTCCGATTCATTTCCGCGAACCGGTTCTTTTCGGACAGATCGGCTCATTGAACCGGTTCAAAAAGCCGAATCATCGGTTCCTGACATCATCGTGCAAAAACGTCTCTACGCATTTCTTTTCTAACAACTCGGTGCAATGTTGTATCAATGAAAAATTCACAAGTAATTTGTGTCAACCCATATTGAAACATTAAAAAAATAAAGTTATTTGTGTGAAGTATATTGCTGATTATTACCATATAATTCACTTAAGTTAATGGTGTTTGTGGTCACAGTTTCATTCACGGGTTCCTTTATGTCAGATACGACTCACTGAGCATATTGACTAGCCTACAACTAGGATAAGATTCCTAAAAGTTTCACACCTGCAGCACACATTACAGACATTAGGGCCTTTCGCACCGCAGGAACCCTTTCATAGTACCAGAACTAATTGTGGAACTACCCACTTTTCGGCGTGTTCGCACCGCCGGAACTGGGTGTGATTTTAGTACCGGACTGCCTTTTTCGAGAACCAAATTAGCTCCTACTCCGGAGCAGGGTCTAACCAGCACAACTGGTACTAATCGTGACGAAAGATGGAACTTACCCCATGCCCCCGTACGAAAACGGCCTCACCCGCCATGATTCAAAACGCTGTGTAAACATACTGTAAGCATGTCAACTTATTTAGCAGCAAGTATGGAGAACAGCGATAGGTAAATATAATATGCATGCACAATAAAATATTGTAAAATTTATTTACATCACTCGACAGAAAGGTTTTTGCAGGTTTTAATAAAATGTAAATTAATAACAGTCATAATAAGCATATTTCCAGTACACGAGTACTGGAATCGTCAGGCTTGTACAGTATCGTCAACTCACTCATCAGAATCTTCGGTAATCCTCTGCAAACTTCGCCACGGCTCATTCGGTTCTTGTTGAGTCCTCGGCAATCCTCGGCAAACTTCGACAGTTGGTTGAACCGGCTCAATCTGTTCTTTTTGAGTTGGACGTGCTACTTCGGCTGTGCGTCCTGCGTCATCAACCCGGAACTAAAATTCGATTCAGTTCGATTTGTGAACCGGCTCGACCAGTTACTTCCTGAGAACCGGCTCAAAAGAACGATTCGTTCAAGAACCTAACATCACTAGTTCCTGCACCTTCACTTCTACACTCTTCACGGCAGATGATCTGCCTCTCTGATCCTTGGAGCACCTTCACCACTTTCATTATTGTCACTCAATAAATGCCCCTTAGGGGATATTTCACCACACGTTGAGTCTGAGCCTCCTTTCTCCCACCATAACTGGTGGAGAATGCGGGCAAGTGAGAATTGAGGTTAGATTCTGTCCTAACGTCTGTGTGTTGTCTCTCATTACCTTACAGATCCAGCTCTCTCACACTGTCTCTAGTGCAGCATGGAAGGGCTGAGTGTGAGTTTGAGTGGCTCCGTCAAGAGACCGGCCAGCGAGCCCCACTCCCCAGTACCCGGGCCGTAGCTGGCCAGCTGCTCACCAAATTAACAGATCTTGATGATGTAGAAGCCTGCCTCCACACATTTGAAATTGTGGCAGAGCGAGAAGGGTGGCATGTGTCCGAGTAGGTTGGTATTATTGCACCCTTTCTGCAGAAGCGCAGCGTGCCTACTATTCGTTACCCTCCACCTCAGCCACTGATTATGCAGCACTGAAGCAGGAGATATTGGCCCGGGTGGGGCTCTCATCTGTGTATGCAGGGCAGCGGTTCTTTGAATGAGTGTATGATCCTTGGGCCCCCGTTTGAGTACAGGCCACCCAACTCTCTAGGTTGGCCCATCTATGGCTTCTCACTGGCCAGGCTACCGCATTGCAAGTCGCAAAGGAGGTGGTGGTAGACAAGCTGCTCCGTTCTCTGCCCCGGGTGCACCGGAAGGCTGTGGGGATGCAAAATCCAGAGTCGCTGGCTGAGTTGGTACAAGCAGTAGAGCTGGCGGAGGCAGCTCAAGCACGAGACTTGGGAGAGAGGCTGGAGCAGGATTTTTTTCAGAGAATACAGAGTGACAAACGACCACTGGAGAGTACCACTATGCCAGTAAGCAGACCAGTCACAACCGGGCCCACGGGATGAGCCTATGACTACCGATCCCAACCCACTAGCAATGCGGGTGTGGCTAGCAGGCTGTATTGTGCACCGGGCTATACCCTCTGGGGCTCCGGAAAGGAAAGTGAGGATTGACGGACGCCCGGTAAAGGCGTTGTTGGATTCTGGCAGTTCAGTGAGTCTGGCCCATCCAGACATTGCACCAGTGAAGGATGAAGGTAAAATAGTGATGCCCATCACCTGTGTGGATGGGGACACCCAGTATGTGCCAGCCCGTTCTGTTAATATCGCCGCAGACACAGGGAGCTGGAGGATGAAAGTAAGAGTAGTAAAAGATCTACCAGTACCCCTCCTGCTCGGTCGTGACTGGCCAGGGTTCGACCGCCTTCTGTCAACCACAATGCAACCTTCCAGGCAGCGTCGACCGTGCAGAGGAGGAGCGAAACAGGAGGCCCCACGTCAACCAGTGATGCTTGCCACTGACAGTGAACCAGAGGGTGAGTCACATACTTCCCAGTTAAACGTGTACTCTTATCTGTTCCAACAGGTAACAGCGGGAGGCTCATTTAACAGAGAACAGAGAGAAGATTAGTGCCTTAAGAACTGCTGAGATCAGGTAAGAGTAATTAATGGAAAAGAGCATCTACCCCCGCCACATCCAACACCACATTTCATTGTCGAAAATGGGCTGCTCTACTGAGTGGCACTTGGGAGGGGTGAGGAAAAGCATCTGTTGGTGGTGCCTCAAACCAAGACAGGAATGGTTCTGTTCCTGGCTTACTCGCATCCACTGGCAGGGCACCTGGGTCCCGATAACACGCTTCAGCAGCTCAGGGATCGATTCCACTGGCCAGGAATAAATGCAGAGGTGAGGTGTTTCTGTAGAAGCTGCGAAGTCTGTCAGCGCACCGCCCCACAGAAACCACCCCCCAGTCCCTTGATTCCACTGCCCATTATAGAGGTACCTTTTGAGCGCATCAGGATGGACCTGGTGGGGCCATTGCCAAAGTCAGCTCGGGGTCATGAACACATCTTGGTCATCATGGATTATGCCACACGGTATCCTGAGGCCATTCCCCTCCGAAAAGCCACCTCCAAGAGTATTGCCAAGGAGTTGCTCCTTCTGTTCCCTTTGAGCTATTGTTCGGGCGGCAGCCACAAGGGCTCTTAGATATAGCCAAAGAAGCCTGGGAAGGCCAAGTTTCCCCACACCGATCTCTGATTGAGCATGTGCAGGAGATGAGGGAAAGGATTGACAAAGTGATGCCCTTAGTGAAGGAGCACTTAATCGAATCCCAACGGGCCCAACAGCGAGTGTACAACTGCCCCACTCAGGCACGTGAGTTTCACCCAGGAGACAGGGTATTGGTACTAATTCCAAATGCTGCTTGTAAATTTCTTGCATCCTGGCAGGGACCGTATACTGTGATAGAAAGAGTGGGGCCGGTAAATTATCGAGTCCGCCAGCCAGGACGATGACGGGGCGAACAAATCTACCACATCAACCTGTTGAAGAGATTGGTCGAACCCGCAAACCAACTGGCATTATTTGCCATAAAGGAGCCTGGGGTGGATCTGGGAACACAACTTTCTGCAGTCCAGAAGAAAGAACTGGAAGCCCTGGTAAGCAGTTTTTCAGATGTGTTTTCAGAGACCCCGGGCCGGACAGACATCCTCTCTCATGAAATTCACACCCCACCTGATGTCATCATTAAACAGCGGCCCTACTGGGTACCAGAAGCTCGCCGACAGGCTATAGAGGAGGAAGTGCAACGGATGTTCCATTTGGGAGTAATTAAGGAGTCTCGAAGCCCATGGTCCAGCCCTATAGTTATGGTGCCCAAGAAAGATGGAACTTACCCCATGCCCCGAGTAGATGAGTTGGTTGAACGCCTCGGCAGAGCCCGCTTCATCTCAACGCTTGACCTCACCAAAGGTTATTGGCAAGTGCCGTTGTCTAAAGATGCCAGAGAAAGAAACCGGGCACAACCGGGGGGCACTGGCAGTATCGGGACTTACCCTTTGGCCTGCATGGGGCAGCAGCAACATTCCAAAGGCTCATGGACA